CCAAATTTTTAATCATTAAATATAGGTCTCATATTACTATAAAATCCTACACCTTGTTTCAAACTTCTTACATTAAAATTTAATTTAAGAATATTTAACTTAAATAATTTTAATAATTACAAAATTAATATATTTTATAGATAACCTTATTTTTATTATAATAAAAGTTGTTACTTTTATAGAAGATTCTATGAGCTCCTATATAGGTTATTGATGAACTACTATTACCTAGAAATGTTATTAAAGAAATTGAGTACTTAAAAGTCTTATAAAAGATTAAGAACTAATAAAATTTTAACATTATTTAGTGTCCATTAAATCTATAGAAACCTTTGTTTGAATTACATAATCTTGAATTTATTAAAATTTGTAGAAAGTCACCTTAAACTTCATCTAAAAGTCATAAAATTATCTTGATTTTTAATAGTTAGAATTCTACATTTAAACAAGGTACATAAGAAAAATATCTATTTATGATTTATACAACACTAAATTTGATTTCTAGCCACAACTAAAGTCAAATTTTGCAAAAATAATAAGATGAGAATGTCCTGTAATAAAATAAAATAAAAAAATTAATTATATCAAAATTCTTCAATATATTAATCTTTAGCTAATTTTTACTTATAGAGGCAAGGTTTTGGGAATTAAGGCATAAATTTGGACTTCTTGTATTTATTTCTCTTAATCATTCAACTTCTTAAAAAATATATTAAACTTTATTATTGAATTTTAATATGCACACAAAAATATTGCTAATAATAATATTACTAATATATATAGATATATATATAGATATATAGATATATATAGATATATAGATATATATAGATATATAGATATATATAGATATATATTTAAAAGTATTAAGTAGATCTTTAAAATAACTACTAATTTTAAATTCATTATAACTTCTTCCAATTATAGCATCTATATTTTTATTACTTTCATCTAAGATTTTCTGGACTTAAAATAAATAGCACACATAAGAACATATGACTAATTTGAAACTAATTAATCTACAACCTTTTTCTTAAATGGTAATTTTAATAAAAAGATGTAGATTACTTTCTTTTAGAAGAAAAAAAAAATATTGAAAAAGATTACGTTAGTTTACAGATGGATAATTTTTACTTTTAGAACACAATATGTTTTGAAAAAAACATAAAATATTCTACTTACTTATTAAAAGATTAAAATAAACTATAACAAAAAAAAAAAAAAAAAAAAAAAAAAAAAAAAAAAAAAATCTTTTAAACTATTACAGATATAAATCTGAAAAAAAAAATATAAAAAAAATATATTCTTATATCATAAAAAAGATATAACGCAAGATTAAGATTATATATATATATATATATAATACTAAGAAGGTCTTATTGAATCTTCCTAAAAACCATAATACTTGTAATTCAAGTATCAAGTTACATATTGTTTTAAATCTAAACCTCATAAATAAAAAAACTTATAGAATAAGTTTCAATAGACACGTGGCATAATTGAGTGATTTAAAGATCTAATCTAATAAATTTCTTAAAAGTTTCTTGAAGAAAATATTTTATTGGCATTTTTTACTTATTTCTACTTACTTCTTTTTAACTGAATAATATGGAAAACATTTATATAATTTATTCTTGTATTGAAATATTTTTAATTTTAAAATTTATTCGGTGACTTCAATTTAAATTATTCAAATTATAAAAAAACTTAAAACTTTAGAATTTCCAATCAAAAATTTAATCTAAGGTAGTTTGGTTTACAAATTCTTTAGATTTAAAAATATATTAATTAAATAAAACTTTTCATTGACTTTCAACTTCTTATCCATACAATCTAAAGATATTAAATTAAGCTATTTATAATAATTATATATTTTTTTATTTTTTTATTTCAATAATTTTTTTAAAATATTATTTTAAAATTAAAATATATTTACAGTATACTTATGTTCTTAATTTAGAAATTATTACTCAATTCATACATCAATCAAAAAAATTTAAGTTTAATTTATACACAAATTATTTTTAATTTAAGTAAATTTCAAAACTTTGATAATTAAAAATTGATATAAAGTTAACTAATGTTGACCTTATAGTCAATTACTTTATATGTTACAACATATTTTAAATAAAGTTTTTAGTCTTAAAGATCTATTTAATACTTGATATTGCTATCAAACATAAAAATTTAATTTTATAATTTTCTCTTGATAAAAGGTTAGAATAGCATTTTATTGATTTTATTATTGTATGGAAAATAGTTCTATTATTTAATTTAGTTATTTAGTTACAAAATTTAGTTAATATGTAGACTAGTATTGTGTAATTTAATAATTTTATTATTAAAATTTAAAAACAAAAAAAAAAAAAAAAAAAAAAAAAAAAAAAAACTTTATTCCCAAAAAAAAAATTTTTTTTCATTTTTGGGAAAGTTGGCCCTTTTTTTAAAATTTTAACCAAACAAAAAAAAAACCCAAAACCCTGGGGGAAAAATTTTATTATTCTTTTTAAAGGAAAAAAAAAGGCCTATATATATATATATATATAAATAAATAAAGGGCTTTATTTTTAAAAAAAAAAAGGGGTCAAAAAAAAAAAAAAATTTTGAATTGGGCCGGCCCAACATATTTAAAAAAATTTTTTTATATATAAAAATATAAAAAAATATTTTTTAAAAAAAAATTTTACCAAAAACCCAAAGTTTAGAAGGTTCCCCTTTAAGTTAAAAAAATTTAAAAAATTTTTTTCCCCAAAAAAAAAAAAGTTTTCAAATTTTTAAAAAAATTTTTAAAAAAAAAAAAAAACTTGTTTATCCAATCCCAAAGAGGGCCAATTTTATTTACAAAAAGTCATTTGAAAAATTTTCCAAAAAAAAAAGTCATAAAAGGTCATAAAAGTCTAGAACTATTTAATATTGCATAATTTCTAACAAGTCTTTTCATTTAGATTTTTTTTGGTTGGAAAATTATTAATTTTAAAAATAAAATGTAACTTATAGTATTAAAGAATCTTATAAGCAAAATTCATAATTATAATAATAATAAGTAATAAAACATCAAAATAAGAAAAGCTTTTTATACATAATATCATCAAACCTATACTTATTAGAGTAAAAATATTTATATGAACTATATATAAATTTATATATATATATATATATATATATATATATATATATATATATATTTAATTTTATAGTTTATAAAGCACCAAGTATTTATTTAAATAAAATTTATAGGAAAATATTAGAATAATTTAAGTGAGAAAAATATTAAGGTATATCCAAGAAGAAGAATTTTAATATAGAACTAAAAAATTGATCATTAAAAGAAAAAATCAACTACTATTTGGACTAATTTACAACCCATTATATAATAAATTGGTTTTCTTTAAAGAAAATATTGGCAAAAATGTTACAAAGAATTTTAATCAATACACAAAATTTCTTGTGGATATTTCAATTGCTTTACTAGAGAAACTAGATGAATATTTGCAAGAGCATAGATTGTCATGTACTTAAAAAGATGCCTATTAAGAATAAGTATTTTATTTTTTCTTATATTGGAGTTTTTCAATTAATAATGTAAAGCAAAGAACCATCTTGTAGTTGACTTATAAGAAGCTTGCAATCTATTTTATTTAAAATAAATAAATAAATAAGAATATAAATTTTGTACTTAAAATGGTAATTTTGAATATAGTTTTATGTTTTAAGAATTATGAATGTTCCAACTGCTTTATAGCATTTGATGATTGTTGTATATTTTGAATTTTTAGATGATTTTATTTATATATTACTTAGATAAATTCTTATCTATTCCAAAAATATAAAATAATATAACCAATATACCTTTTTTATTCTATAAAATTTTAATTATAAGATTTTTTTTTCAAAAGTGTATAATTTATTCTAAAATTAAATAAAAAAATAAAAAATATATATTTTAAGAAAAATATGTAGAGAGTGTCAACTGAAATTGTTGATTCTATACAACCAAAAAACATATAGACTATCATAAATTTTAAAATTCTTAGAATTTTAGGTATGGTTAAGATTTTTTTTAAAAACATTTTTAAATTAAAATATTTTACTATAATTTTTTTTTAAGTAGTTGTATCACTTATGTAATTGTCTTGCAATGAAAAATTAAAGTAGAATATAAATTCAAAAACCACAATTAAAGGTTTAAAATAGCATAAGCTTCAATTCTAATTTTAAGTTATTTATAGTTTTTAAAGCTATGTTTACAAAGAATCATTCTTTTAAGAATGTTCTAAAATATTAACAAAGAATTTAAAGGTTTAAACAATGGTGTGTACATCTTTAAATTATTAATCTTGACATAAATGTAAGGATATAAATGTGAAGAAAGTAAATATGAAAATCAAATTACTAATTATTAAACATCATGAAATATTAGGTGATCAATTACTAGATATTAAAAAATCAATATTTCATAGACTTATATTCCTTACTGTTTTTATATATACGAAGATAAAGATAATTGATTTTAACAAATATTCCAGTTGTAGTTTCAAAAAAAAAAAACATATCTATTAAAATCTTATATTGTACTTTTAATACAATTTCTTCAATTAAGAATGATCAAAGAATATATTACAAAGAATCATTCAATTAAGAATGTTCTAAAATATTAACAAATTTATTAGACATTCACAACAACTTCCATCAATACTAATAAGTTTATTCTTCTAATATTAGAGAATACTATAGAAATATATTATACATCCATTAAATCCACATAAAACTTGAATTTTATAATAAAAGTAACTTTCAAATATTACAAATACATTTTAGGACTAGTTTATACAAAAATTAATTAATTGACCAACTTTCGTAGATTATGTGATTATCTGAATTGGTGAAGATTAATCACAGGCTTCCCCACTCAGAACATAAACTTAAATTCAAAGTTGTAGCCGCATAAAAATTCAGATCAGTCTGCAACATCATAGATAGACATGTCACCAATTCAAATCTGCACGGTAAGTATCAGCATGCTGATTCTTACTAATATATGCAAGCATCACTGGACATCTTGAAGAAGAGGAAAATCTCAATCAACAAATATAGTAGCAATGAAATAATCATGGTTATTTCAACTGAGCGCCTCATCCTAATGTAAACGTGTGTCTAGACATTGATTAATCCTCTAAATAACATGAATCTCCTGGTTGATTGAATGGTATAACCACTCCTCACGCTTAACAAAATCAGCATCCAAAAATTTGGCCACAAAGGCCCATAATCTGTACACATCCTCAAAAGTAGACACAAAGCCAAGGGCTGCAGTCACAACCGGAATTTCTGAGGGACGGTCGTGCTTGCTGGCGTTTGAAACTCGAGGTGGGTCTGCTTTGCCTGCTGCATTGTTGCTTCCACTCTCGACAGGTTTGTTCAACCATAACCCCTGAATCAGGAAACATTGTTAGGGCGTATAGCACAACTTGATGAGTCGACCACCGTCTGTCAAGGTTAACAAAGACTGACTTTCAACACCACCAAATGCTAGCATGGGAGTTGAAAACTGAGGCACATGTTTCCGTCTGCTTTCGACGTACCGCTAACAGACTCAAGATCAGAACTTTGACGAATGCCAACATAAAATTTCCGATTAAATGTCGAGGTTTGCAAGAGGGGGATGAGGTAGATTACAGCAAGGTCGGTGGAGCCTTCGGGGTAGACAATGTTGCAAAGGGTACCGAGACCCAAGGAGATGTTATTCCTATCAGCCAAGCGCTGAACGAGCTCTGCTTTGACAGGTACTCCATTCCAGTCAAATAGATTAAATGCCACCGCTTGACCTCTGTCGAAGTGCACTTCTGGACCATAAATATGCACCAAGTTCGTCCCCTGCGTATCCATTTGTGACGGGTGCCGTAGTTTTAGAAGAGCGTTTATAAGCCAATTGATTAAGAACCTGTTTCAGCAAGACAAACTGAAATCAACGAGCTGGGCCAGGCAAACTGAGTGCAAATATGTGAAATACTCATATGTGTCCAAATGGAACATACCAAGAAGAGAGACTAGCCTACGATATCTAGCCCTCGGGCAACTTACAATACATGTAAAGAAATTTTTACTGCAGAGGTAAGATCCTCAACAAAATAGAGCATTCTAAAAAGGAAAACAATTTTTTTTAAATCCTAATTTGAAAGAAAACTGCGAACATATCCGAATCGAACCTAAAGACCTCCTCTTACCTTAGTCTAAGATTAGTTCTGTTGAGGCCCTGTGAGTCCGCATGGTCTAAACCACTGCATATAACAGGGCCTGCTTCATCAAGCATTTCATCGTTTCTTGACCCCATGTTCCCAATGTCATCATTAAAGTACATGGGTGATCCCTCCTCCGACATTGCATATTGAGCTTCCCACTGGCTACTACCCTACAATCAACAACAGCAGAATTTTGAGTCAGAAGAGCCATTTGTAATCACCTGGAATTAATAAGGTGCATAACACAACATCAGTTCTCAGCGGATTGAATTGGTTTAATTTATTCCAGTTTCACGCTGACTGACTGATTAAATGCAAGGCCATAGAGTAAGGGGAAAGCGTAGCAGTGGCTTTAGAAAAATCTACCTCCCCAGGGCTCCATGATTGTAAACGCCGCCCATTTGCACCACCAGAACTCAGATAATAGTCTAACCCATTGAGATCTTCAAGCTCAGCAGATCGTATTCTCACTTCTTCAAAAAAGCTATCTACATCCCTCCCCTCTCTCAAGACATAATCATGGTTATCCCTCGACATTATGCTCGACTCTAGTTTATCGGCTTCTGACCTTGCTCCAACTCTGTTACCCTCATTTTCATGCAAAACTGTATCCAGATTCTGATCAGACTCTTGGAGGCTTTGTTCGGGTCTGTCCTCGAACCCGTCAGTAGATTCAGGACTGTGAAAAAGTGGACTACCAGATGTTTGTGACCCATTACCACCTGAAATAGTTTCAGACGATCAATAACCAACATCAAGGATTGGTCAGAGTAGCAGTGATCCACACATCTGATGACTTGTATCAGCTACAAGCTTGAAGGTAATCATATTCATAGCAAAGCATCGAGTTACAAGATACCAAACAAAACCCACAAGCCAAGACGCTATTCCAAAAGCTAACTTCATAAAGAGAGTCAAAAACAGGTCACAGAAGGCTCCTACCAGTCCTGTGGCGAAGGGCTTCTGTTGAATCTTCTGCATGTGGTTGGGAGACAAAAACACTCTCATCAGGTTCCTCCTCTTGTATCCTACTCAAGAATCGGTTGTTATCACTCCTGGAAGACAAGACTACATCAAGTTTCTTCAAAACCCTTCCATCATCCTCCGTAGTTGCTTCATGTAAGTTTCTATCAGAATTGGAAGAACATTCCACACCCTGTGAGGAAAGAGCATCACTTTCTTTAGAAATGGACGCAAACTGCCTTCCAGACTTGTGGTCTCTCCGGGTCAGCGGAAAGATGGGCTCGGAGGGTTCCTCCTCAATTTCACCACTTCCAGGATCTGCATTTCGAGCTCCATGTTATTCTCTTTTCATGCTAGTTTGTACTACGACAATAGGCATTCAAATAGGGTAAATAAATTAGACAGTCGCTGGGATCCAAGCACCATCAACACTAAATACATAAATTCAAGCTCTGCAGTGCCAAATATTGATGATCCTAAAAGACCGATTCGAATGAAATTAAGCACCACTTCAGGCTATGTCCTGCGTCACAAGGTTCTCAGGCCTAGAAACTTAAAAGGGTAGTCGAGTGAATTGTACCTCTTCCTGGCAAAACGCCTCGAGTAACAAAATCCTCGTCATTTCTAACACTCCACGCTCCACTGTGGCTTTCTCCATGCAAACGATCATCCCATTCTTCTTCGTTCTCAAAAGGTAAAGAACTTCGCGCAGATGCATCATCAAACCCTGCAATGTTCATGTCTCTACCGGAAGCAGTGATCCTTTTCAGTATGGCCTTCTCTCTGACGCTGTTCACGTAAGATTGAGATATTGGACCGGAGAAAGCACTCACAGGATCGACATAATCAGAAGCATCCAAGTATTGCTCTGTATCGGCCTCGTAAATGTCTGGCAAGCGCTCTGGATCTCCTTGCTGCCCTTCACCTCTTGCAAGCGATACATTCGAAACCGCTGACGGAATAATTCGAACCATCCCCACACCCCGTGCACGATCTGAGTTGTGCAGATCTTGAATGACAGAGTTCTTTATAAACAAGCACCCAAAGCCTGTCGGGTCGGCTCCAAAAACCTGAAACAAGGAGGATTATTCAAAGAAAGAATGATAAAATTAAAAAGTAAAACAAAAACGAAAAGAAAATAACAAGAAAAGGAGGAAATGTACGAGTACCACTACAAACCTAACTACCTCCATATTGCATACCCAACAAGATGCTAAAGTGCTTATGGAATGAAGTCGCTTTAACGAACAAGTCAGAGCGTACCTTGTAGAAGGATGTGACTATGAATTCAGGGCGGAAAAGAGAGAGGGCAAGTGAATCCATATCCTTGGGAGCTAAAGCAGAGGCATCCAAAAGAACCTGCCATTTGTTTGCCTGTGCTTGCGACATCCATTGGTACGAGTATTTTGCCCCCGTGACTCTAGACTGAACGGGGAATACAAACAGTCCCTTCGCAGTCTGATCTTTCTTCTTTTTCTTATCCTGCAGCTTATATTTCAAATCAGCGGCAGAAACTTTCAAATTGGGCCATTTGAATGATGCATTCATGATTTTAGCACCCTTCTCCTTTGCTGTCTCGGCCATGCAGCTAACAGCATCACTCTCGTAATCGTAGACTGTCAACAGTCTATTATTCAAGTGAAAGGGGTAGGATTCGGCCAGAAGCTTGTATGCTGTTACTCGACTGGCTGTAAACACCATGCTGTAATCTGAATCGCTTAAATTCATATAATTCATGATCCGTGTTCTGATATAAGATTCCACCGTGCCTTCTTCAGCTGTGCCGTAAAGGGCATGAGTTGGAAGATTGGCAGAAATGTAAGCCAAATTAAACGACGAGCTCCCCCGTTGAAAAACCTAAGTTCAAAGTCGATTATCAATCACAAGCTCTCCACAATTGGCAAACTCTTAAAAACTTTCACAAGCACTGGGAATCAACAATCAAACCATACACATCAGCAACTCAGGGTGGACAGAACCAATCAGTAACAAGGTCGCATACCTGCTGCCAATGTGAGAAAAGGCCAAATCCGCTGTAATCGAAGCATACATGCTCCCCCTCCGCCAAATGTCCATATTCACGCTCCCGAAGCCGATCCACAGCTACAGTTTCCGAAAACCTAGGATAAACCTGCTTAAAATTTTTGTAGGCTGTCTCGAGCGAAGGCAGGCTCTCTGGATTACTGTAAAACCCTTCACTTCCTAGTCCTTGTGTAGTCACCTTAAGAAAGTCTTTACGTGCACCAATCCTTCCAATGTGGGTTGTCACCTTTTTGGAAGTCTTCTTCGTGACATTTGCGCCTGCAGAGGATGCATTTTTCGATTGGGGGGCAGCATTAACGGCTTTTGAGTCCTTCCGCGCTTGATTTTGGAAGGGATTCCGTAAGCTTGGCATGATTCTCTTGTCGCTCCCTCTGTGAGCATCATCATCCGCCGTCGAGCTTCGGCAAACCTTGAAAAACATCAGACAAGATGACCCACTCAAGCGGAAGCGACCATCATGATTAATCATATGATTTTGACCCCATGTGAGGGATTTGTCTCTCTTCACCTCATCAAGGATGAAATTGTTGGAGACACCCCGACTATACGGTGACCACGTTGACGAGACCTACTGAAACCGCAGTGGTAAAACGCACAAGAAACACCCACCCTGTGTGTGAATGAGATGAAGGGGAGCGCTGAGGGTGAGGACCTGTGGAAACTCGGAATAACTCCTGTCAAAATCATAACCAAGAGTCAATAAATGCCAAGGTAGAATGTATCATCACCGGAAGATTGACCCGCCCACCGTCGACAAACTTGAGGTGTCTTTTGAATATGGACTCAAGAGCTACAAAGGGTCAAGAAAGACACGCAAAATTGGCACAAAGTTATTCAACGAAGGCCTCGAGATAGTGTCCGTCTGTCGGTGGGAAGAAAGAACTAAATTTGGAAATCATGATCACAGAAGGAACATTCTTACAGGAGCAAAAAGATTGGGATGAGTTACGTTCGCAGCTTTGCAGAGCTTCCTCCCAATATGAGAATCACAAACTTAAAGACAGCTGGAGTGGTTGCCTCCGGAGCTTCACTGCCGACAACAGCATTTTGAGACTAACTATGTATGGGGAAGGGCCAGAAAGGAAGAGAAGAGAGTTTCTCGGGATACTTCAGATGAGGGAACGGACGAAGAAGGAAGTTCGTGGAAAAGACCCAAAGGACAGAAAAGCAGCGTGAGACCTAACTCGCAATGCTAAAAACAGAATGACCAAAACAGACGACAGGAGCTAGGACTTGACACAACAGTGTAGAATCTCATCCCACGTATCGACCGGATCAGCCGACTGTGAACGACTTTTGTGCCCGGTGGTGGATTACTGCTCAATGATGAAAGTCGCGAAAAGGAGCTTTACAGCGCAAGAGCTATTGAATGCCTTTTTTTAGAGATCCCTGGAGGTGTGAAGTGTCGACCACAATCCAAAACGAAGCGGCTGCCAGATATTCAGCTCGGTCAACGCATCTCTTGACACGAGTTATGGGTTCCTTTTCTTTATTCCGTAAAGATCATTTGTAACCTGCCAATCACTATCAACTCTCGTAAAGACTGGTCATTGCAAGAGAGGTGTGCCTATGTTTATCAACGTTGACGCTCTTAGCATTTTCATCGCCAGCAAGTCTGTTAGTAGCGAGAGAATTGCTCGATAATACCTTTCGAAGCTCTAAATTGACGACAATTTGATAGCTTTTCACAACCAGTCGACCTTAAGAAAGATTGCTTCTTAGAGGAGCTTGAGAAGGGGAATGCGTAATCAACAAGGTCCCGAGTGCATTGTCTCTAAAAGGTTGGGAGTGTAGATAGACCCTAATATCTCTGACGGCCGTAAAGCGGACAAGCTACCTATCCGCGAAAAACTCCGAAAACAGAAAACCACGCAAGATTTCCAGATGCAGACTAGAGTTTTTTCTTCATCTCCCCTCATTCAACAGCCAAGTGTCAACTCTACCAGCTAAATAATCGACGCTCACGACCCCAACTGCAGTTTAAAGTGGAAACTCAAACCAATTTGCAACCGGGAGCATGAAGCAATCCGAGGCCATCGCTGAAAGCCAGCGGGAAGAAAGAAAAAGTCCAAAAGTAAATTAAAAAAAAAAAAAAAAAAAACCAAAGCCCACTTCACCCAAAATCCCAAAACCCCTACCTCACGTCCCTGATCACCATCACTCCACCCCAATGGCTTAAAAATACCGTCACTGACATGAAACCACCCTCCAGCGAACTAAGTTTAATTCACACCCTAACATACAGCGGCGCTCTCATCTCCCCCCCGCCCAAACTCCCCCGACCTCGTTCTCCAACATCAGTTCCTCTGCTCCTGAACTCGCATTACTGCAACGATTGGAAATAAGCGTAGAAATCACCCTTCAGCGTGCGTCCCTGCTCCCTGTCCTACGACGCAAAAACCCTCGGAAGTCAAGAGCAGAAGACAAACGCTACGACGACGACTCCCCACTCACGCGTCCGTCCTCTCCTACACCAGCATGCGATGGTGCAAGTAGAAGCTTGCTTGCTGTCTGTTCTGTTCTGTTCTCTTCTGCTCTGAGCCCCTGCATAGCTTCTGTCTAACGCAGCTCACCTGCGCAGCAACAGAATGTCAGGTAGCAGCAGCACTCCAGATTGCAAGCGGTGGCTCCGTCGCGGCCCACGATGCCAAGTCTCGCCGTGTCGCGGCGTTCGTCACCCCCCCCCCCCCCCGACCACCACACGAGGCGACCTCCGCATAGCTTTTAACTTTTAAAAACGTTGACTTTAAAGTAAAAGTTTTTGGGTCAAAGGGTTGGACCCTCCACTTACAATGACGTGGAATCTCCAAGTGATTTGAATGAATCATGTGTTGTCATTTTGTGGGGAAAAAATGTTTTGAGAGTGAGCATACTTGTGATGTGTGTTGGGTGTTATTTTTATAAATGAGGGTGAGATTAGTGAGGGGAGTTGTATGGGTTGGGAAAAGAAAAATTAAATTAAATCAAATTTTAATTTTTTTTTTAAAAAAACTCTTATTGATTGGAAGGTATCTTGAAGGTCAATTAATGTTTGCAATGCGGATGTGTGTGAGGAGGGGGTCTATGTCGAATCTAGTCAACTTTGAAGTGTGCTATTCATTCGCCTATAATGTGCATCATTTTTGTGTCTCCTCTTGACTTTATATGGCATGGACTTATCAGATTGAAATAGTTTGGGGATCTTTGTATTTTTAGTGGATTCTTCATTCGAAGCAGAAGAAATAAATTGCTTTGAAAAATGTGATCCATTCGCTTTGATCACTGTAAAGTTGGAAAAAAAGTTGTTTTCCTCAAAAAGTTGTTGCAGAAGTAATGTGAATAGAGATACATAGTAGAAACAAAACACTTGTATTAAAATTTAATAATCAGTCATGGGCAAAGTATCATGTACACAAAAAGTTGGAAGCCATGGAATGAAAATAATCAATACAATAAATGGCAAGCTTCGATACATTTTTTTTTGTTTTTCTAATTTATATTTATGTACTCTACTCTTAATCTCAATTTTTTCTTATTCAATTATAATGTGCATTTTCAATCTCCCCTTAGGATAAAACTAAAGACTTGGAACTAAATCAATAATTAAGTGCACAGATAATTTAGAAGTAGAAACTAGGTTCTAGTACATCAAAACAAATAAATAAATTTTAGTGGCTGTGATGAGTTACAAGAATATTTTCAAATCCCAAGAAAAACAATACAAGTTTTATAAATCAGAAAATATAAAAAACGACTTGATGGAGTCCAAAAATGGCTCTAATTACGGTAAGTTTATTTGATCTTCTGATTGAAAAAGCAAATCTTATTGTTAAAAACTTATTGTTAATCTTATGGTTAAAATCCAAGTGACTAGTCCTACCAACTACTAAAAGAACCTTTTTCTATACTATCTAATCAAATAAAAATAAGAATAAATCCTAACTTTCAAATTAAAATGTTAAACTAAGAAGTTTCAAACTCTAACAAAATACTTGTTATAGTAAAATTTTCAATTGCATAATAATATTAAATAAATATTGAAAATATTTTTTGAAAAAACCTTTAAGATTAAAGATAATGTAATCAAAATGTAGTTGTTTACAAATTTACATGTTCTTTTCAAAAACATACATGTAAAAATTTAAATTCACTATTGCAGTTGTTTTTGTTTTTATTTTATTTTTCAACAAATATGGTGGTTTTATATAATACAAATTATAATTGATACTTAAAATGCTAAAAAAAGTATTCAAGTCATTAAAAGTAACAATTGATCAAATCAACACCCAAATATTTGTTATGGAGATTTTTCTCTTCGAATATATGATTTAATAAGATTAATTTAATGTTGAGTTATATCTACTATATATGATGTTACTTTTCATTGAAACTTACAAATATTACAGCCACACACACACACACATATATACATGTATATATATACACACAGTAATCTAATATTAGAATGTTTTTTCCTAATATTATTATCATGATAGAATTGTATTTATTCTGTTATATTTTGAAATCTAAGTATCATAAAAAATTAACACATAATATATATAGACATCATTTTTAAAATCATAATACTAACTATTATCATATAGTTACTATATGATGGTTTAATATATTATAACTTTTTTCTATTTTTATATATGTATTTATTTAAAATTACCTAAGTGTGTTTTAATTTTTTTACAATCAATTATTAACCTTTTAAGTCACTACTCAAAATTAACTGTAACTTAATAAAAATTGATCTAAAGTATAACATTAACATTATAAATTCTTTGAAGACGGTCTTTAGATTTTTAAAAAACTCAACATCATAAACTCATTTTTTAATATTTTCTTACATATAAAATTCTAGCAATAGCTAAAATACATACTAGTTAGTTGTCATGTATACTTTTTTAATATTCTATTAAAATTTTAATATTATAAGTATCCATAACTATCTACCTAGATTTTTGTCACAATTGTCCCAAATTCCAAAAAGACATACAGTGGAACCTTCTCACACTCTACTTGTTCAAATCCATGACAATGACTGAGAGAATGTTTTGAGTTTAGTCAAAGCTTTTTTCATACTTGGTACAAAAAAGTTGCATGCACCACTTCCAAGATCATGATTTTCAAAAGAATAATTTTGTTGTTGGTATTTCATTCCACATGCTAAATTATATGAATAATACTTTACCCTAAGTACCAAGGCCAATACAAGACCAAAAAATCGCTAATCTTGTTTTTTGAAAGAACACAAAAACACATAGAAAGAAATAATTAGAAAAAGAAAAGAAAAAAGTATTGAGTTCTAGATGCTAAGTTATGGAGATGACCTTGCAATGCACAGTAAACAAATTTCTATTCATTGGAGAGTTGGATCGACTGACCTATTCACATCCATCCTCCCACACATCCATCCATCATCCATCCCTCTGTTCGTCCGTCACTACCAACGATCATCCGCGAGGAGGCATGCGTGAGGCGCATTCCTAGTCTCGGGTGAGCAGTATTGAAGTCACTGGGGACAAGTGGGACTCGGGTAGACTCGGGTGGGGTGGGGCTCTTAAGGTTGCGCAGCGGGGACAAGGAATGCAAAGTAAAGCAGCCCTCACACTTTGGTACTGGGTCCACAGATTGGCCAAGGACGGCGCCATTTTTGGGACATGGGAGCAAAAGCGGGAAGGGATCGGTGCACAACAAGCTGTAGGGGTGGTGAGGAGGAGGAGAGCATCAAAACCATTTTCAAGGCGTTGGGTTGGCTCGCTTTCTGACTGAAACAGCCCATCTGGTTGTCTCTTTCTCAAGGGCTCAGCTGCTGTTCTTGTCACTTCCATCCTGTCAAGGCCCCCCTTGCAATGCGCTGTGACTGATCACCCTTTGTAACCCAAATCAAAGTTCTGGCTCATCTGATTGAGCGCTGACAACTTTAGGTACTAATGCTACGGGTTTTAAGGACTGTAATCCCTTGTGCAGAGTAGTCTCGATGTAGTTATTCGTATTTATTACCACGTCCACTGCATGTGGCGCAATCTGAATTGTGACTCAGCGGGGGGGTTTCGGGAATTTTGTGAGGTAAATGCGGATTGCTAGGCTAGTGCATGAAATCGAGAAGCTGCCCAATTTTCGTGGTGGTTTGGGCTGTGGGTACCTTTCGTCTCTTACACGAGTGTTTTTCTTTGTATTGAAGCCATGCGGGCATCCGTTTCCTGGTGGGAGAGTCGTTTCTCCTGATCTGAGCTTCTCAAACCTGATCCTGCAGAGCATCCAGGTCGGCTTGTGCATCTCTTGTCAGCGTTGGCTCTGATCTTTGAGTTTTTTTGTGAAAGCAACGTGCGTTAATTACAGTTGATTAGGACTTTGTAGGGTGTTCATAGAGGTTCTGATGCTCGCTGGTTGCGGAGTATAGGTGTCGTTTGAAAGTCCTTGAACACGACAATGGTGACCTAATCTGTGGAGACTGTGGTTTTGTACATTTGCCTTGGGTTTTCGCTGCGTTCAGTATTGCACAATGTGTGGGTTTCGTTTGCTAGCTTTAGGGTTTGATAAGACCAATGATTGGCTTTCGAGTGCTGAGCACAATTTGGAAGAAAGTATGGCAACAAGTCGCTATTACTTCTGCTTGGTAAGAGAGTCCTCGCTAGTACTTGATCAGACAGGACCTGAGGTAACAATTGGCGATCCAGATCGTGAGACACTATTTTGACATGAAACCCTAGTTTTGGCCACTTCCGAGCTTAGAAGGTAAGGAGTTGTTGATTCCAAGCAATTGACCTTTTACCATCTGAACCTTAGTCGGGAACCCCGCCATCACGAGTATTGGACAGTGCTTTCCTGAAAGCTCAGTGATGGCTGCGAAACGCCGTGCACTTTGTGGTTGCTTTACGCAATCAAATGAGTCGAGTTCCACTGTCAGGACGCTGTGCTCCAGTTGGGTCTCTTTAATGCTTCTTCTGGGAAAGGATGGCGACGCTCTTAAGGAATACAGGGGCAAAACGAAACTGTAATCAGCGAGTTTTGAGTGCCTGCCTCACACTCTTAAGCACATCGGTTGACTTGAACCACTCGTTGCGCAGCAATGTTTTGTATTAATTAGCTCATGAATCTCTTATTATCAACACTGCTTGGCAGAAACAGCTCAGAGAAAGCTGTTTCTCAGAGATAATAACTGTATTCATGAATTCAACGGATCATAGAATCAACTTTGCAAAACACCCTGGATCATCTTTCTCACCCCCCCGAAGAAGAAGAAGAAGAAGAAATGTGTCGGTTGACCTTGTTAAAGACAGGTTGAAAAGCTCCAGTCGTGTTGAGTCTGGAAACAGAGCTACGTAGTCTCAATGCCTTTCCCTCAGACGCACAAGTGGAAGACAGCGCTAACAAGCCAGCTCGTGCCTGAAAGAAAACAGGATCTTATCTAGGATTTTTTCCACAACTGGACATGAAGGATACAAGCCTCAAGAATGATATCCAAGCCACGATCCACACATAAGGATCCACACAGAAACGTCCAAGAGAATGCCGACAACAGAGTAGCCTCACTCAAGCTCATGCTGATGCTTGAAAGAAAAGCTGATAAGGGCCATCAAGGAGCAATAGCGCAGCAAAGCAGATGCACGCACACCTTTTCTTACCATGACATTGAACATTCTCCTCGAATCAATCAAACCTGACCATCAACACACATACACACAAAAAAAAAATGTATAAATAAAACATAATAAAAAAGAAATAAAAAACGCTTCCAGGGCTCACAACTGACGCGGTGACAGAGGCCGTGACACCGACGTGCCACCCCACAGTGACAATGGTTCTAATCCATTCAAGAATACGGGCGTCATCCAAACTTCGTTTTCCACGCTGCCCTTGTGTGTGATGAATGGTGAGTGATGAGGAGCCAATTCATGCATAATTCCAGCATAAACAACTCAACGACGTTTTCACTCAGCGTTTTTGTGAAACACGTAAGCACTTGTTTCCAAGAGCATTTTCAATCAATGGGAATTGGCCCCAGTACATTCGCACAGTCCATGCTTGCAATGGTGTACCCGCAGTTCTGTCTACAATATTCAAGAGTTGTCGGCATCAGTGTCCCATGCAGACCAGAAAACCTTGATGGTCCTCTCCAGCATGTGATGAGGCTGGACCATTCCCAGAGAGAACGGCAAAAAGCAGGACGACCATTCCAGGCAAGAACGCGAATGCGTACGTGGAATGGGAAATCATTCTACGATGGAAACCAGCCTCGGCGATGGTTCGTTTCGAAATAGTCTGCGCTGGAACGGTCGTGGGAGTCTGAAACGGAGGGAGAGTCTCGTTGCACCTTGGATCGTTTTGCTTCCCATTCCTTACTGGCAAAAACGCCCCTGTCTGCGATCTGAAGTCGCTTCAATTTTGACTGCGTTCGTTGTGTCAGAGCTCCGATCCGCACACTCTGTCTTTCGCTTAACATGGACTTGTTGCTGGCGGATTTTAAGCTGGATTTGAGTAAGTTGCGCGAAGTGTCGGAATTTTTCGCGATGATGCTGTTCCTTTGAACTTGTGTTGATTGGTTTGTGTTTAGAGGTTTGGTTGGGATAAACATTCGTCTGCGTGTTGCTTGATCTTCGTGAGCAGAATTATGCTTTTTGATGAAGAGGAGGGTAAATTTACGTGGTTGTGGAATTCATTCCGTAGAAAGAATTTTGAGTTCCTTTTCTTTTCTTTCCTTTTCTTTCTTACTAGGTTTCTATTACTTGGTTACTTGATTATTGTTCTGTCATGTGCAATAATCTTGAATATTTGAGGATCACAGTAAATTTCTGAGATTTATGAGAGTTTTTTTCTAGAATAATTCTAGGTTTGAAGTGACAACGATGTTAATCTCTGAGGTCTGACGTATAGTAATCTCGATCAGAACTTGTATCCTGATCGCGACAAGCGGGGTATACTATGGAGAGAGACTGAGCGAGGAGGAAAAACTTTGGCGATGGAGACAGTAGAAGTGCGAAACATGCAGAACGAGGACTCAGAATCGCTGGAGGTGGTAGTGGCAGAGCATTTGAAACAGCTGCAGAAGAAGCAAAAATTCGAATTTGCAGCACAAGCTCTTACTAGTATTGTTCAAGAGCGTTATGCAGATGCAACTCCAGCAGAACAGAATGCAGTATGTATCAACTTCCTTTTATACTTGGCACGGCACTCTGGACACACTAATTGCTTGATGCCTTGCTTGATTGTGGTTTTGCTGCTACTTCTAATTATGTGTGGATCACAATTAAGTGTCTAATGAACATGTAATGCAAGGGAATGAAATTGACGCTGGAAGATGATTTGTTCAACTCACAGGTTGACCATTTGAATTATTCTAGAGAGCATACTCACAAAAAATTCTTCATATGGAATTTCTATGTTTTGTTTTTTTTTTTTTTTTTTTTTTTTTAATGTAACGTACGCTTCAGTCAAATAAAAATACGAGTCATCATTCTCAGCACTGTCATATTCTTTTCTGTTTAGTATTCTGCTGTAATTGTGTCTTTTAGCGTGTCTTTATGGAATCTGCGTGATGACCAAAGCGTGTTGCTAGACATGATTGTTTCTTGTACTTACTAGTTCTGCCAGTCATAGTGGTTCTTAAAAAATAATCTGAACGTGTATGCAGATTTATGGGGCAGTCTGTAGAGCAGCCACACTTTTGACGATTAGATTTACTGGAACAGCCTTTGGGTGTCTGGTCTTCTGCTTTTTGAATCTGCTGCAGCTGTTGTAAAACGGCCAGAAGAGAAGAAGAAAATCAGTGAATACTTCAAATTGGCAAATGAATTTATTGGAGAGCAAATAGAGAGAGATGAACCACCTCCTTCTATGCATGCGGGCCCCAGTAAGCATCCTTGTTGATGCAGGGAGTGTTACAAGTTGTCAATATGCTGAAGAGTTTCAAATTTCATTCCATTTCCAATCAGATTAGCAATCATGATAATTTACGATTCTTGATGATCTTCATGTATATGTTTCATGTCCAGGTAATCGAGGGCATCTTTCTGAGGGCCAGTTTTCTGTTGGAGGTGGAGTGGAAGCACCGCCTTTGCAGTGGTTGCAGTCGCAGAATCTCCTCAATTCTATTTTACGAGAACGCTTTCAACAGATGGCAACACGGGAGGAAATTATTTCTGGTGAGGATCGCAATGAGGTGCAACAACTAACGGAAGAGATACCAACCATAATGGATACAGTCAATTCCACACTTGCTGGTGAGAACATCGCTTTTAGTGATGAATTTATTGGACTTGAGGAGGCCATACATGCAACCCTTCATGTAGGTTATGCTAATTGTTCGTACTTTTCAACACTTCTGATTATTTCATATTCGTATGCACTGTACAAGTACAATTTATGATGTTAACCTAGATAATAAGACTTACTGTTTAGGATTGTACTCTCGCATTTAGGAAATCGGTAGTGTTTCTCGAGGCCCACCCCCAGCATCTAAGAAGGAAGTTGCAAAGCTCCCAATAGTTGAAGTCAGAAAGGAGTATCTTGAAAAAGTGGGCGAAGATACCGAGTGTGCTGTTTGTCAGGAGACAATGGTAGCAGGAGATAAACTACAAGAGATACCTTGCAAACACAACTTCCACCCTTCTTGTCTCAAGCCATGGCTGGTAGGAATGGACCTAACCTCTGGGTCTTGTTGATTTTCATCCTTAATGCGAAAACGATTTAAAGAATAATTGCAATTCATGATCGAAATAGTTTAGTACCTTGAAAAATGTTGAAAGATTCTGCAGCGCTCTAATTTTTTGCCTTTTTCCTTTCAGGATGAACACAATTCGTGCCCCATATGTCGGTACGAAATGCCCACTGATGACCCCGTGTATGAGCGACAGAAAGACCGTGACAGAGAAGCTGAAGACGAGAGAAAGGGCTCTGAAAATTCTCTTCGAGGTGGAGAGTTTATGAACACATAGGATCCGTCAGTAACTTTATTTTTCTCCTCGTTACTGCAAAACTTAGTCAAATTTGCTTTCCGTTTGGCGATAACTAGTCAGTTGAAGAAGATTACCTGTACATACTATGCTTGAAAAGAATTACAGTTGCGAATTATGAGTTCCTGGAGGCACGTGTTGGGTTCATTGGATTGACCTAACTTCGTCATCGACTAGCCTTCTCTCTGTTAAGCTCTTCTCGGCAACTGCGGAAGCACTGACGTCCTGCCAAGCGCAGTGCAGATTTTAATAAGTTTCTTTTGAAGATGGGGTGCTGTAAGAAGTGAGGGTTAGAGCCAGGGTGAAAGAAGTCAGCGGATTCTCAAATGTATAATGTACAGTGGCGACGGTATTGAATCCAAGAATTGCTTCAGTGACTCCATCAAAGATTACTTTAAAATTCAGCAAATAAAATACAAGTGGGATAAAGTATTTTCCAACAAGGTGAAAGAGTGATTTGAAGGACAGTTTGCTTTACTTCAATGGATTGCAGTAACTGTCCAACATGATCTAAGGTTATAGTAGGACATTATGATTATTTGATTTTCTTTAAATTTGCGACATGGAAGTATTAGTTAAGATATTGCTTCATTAATGATGTAGTTCTTTTTTTCTTTTTCTTTTTTTCTTTTTTTTTTTTTTTTTTCCTTCCTTCTATTGATTGTTTCCGAAAAGTCTGAAGATTACTAGTATTTGTGGATATGCATATGGGCTACATAAATTCTAGCAACAGATGGTCATCTTTTGTGGTTTTTTATTACATAAATGTTTTACTTTTTTCTATGCAATTGAATAGTAATTATGTGAATAAGAAAAAGAAAAAGAAAAACTCTAATTTTATTTGTAAAATTTAAAGTATGTGGTATTGGATTCAAAAAATAATGAATGCAAATTTGAAAAAAAAAATGCTTCAAAAAAAAATGATTATTGTTTAAGATTGCATAGAACAAAACACATTTAGAAACTAACAAAACAAAATTTACCAACAATTGCTACCATTATTATATGAACATGTCTTAAGTAAAAATATGAGAACAAAATTTTCTCAAAATTTTATCACTTATATTATTAAATTTTATAATGGAATGGCATTATATTTGTGTAGAACTTAATATTAATATCAAATTATATTCTATTGTTTTTTTAGGATTGTATCCTAATCTAATATCAAAAGTCAATTATGGTATGATGATGTCAAGAATTGAAGCAATTTCAAATAACTCCTCTCAAAGTAAATTCACAATATAATTTAACAAAAGTGAGTAGATAAATGAACTTTTAAAATCTTAAAAAAAACGTTTCTTTGTATATAAATTATATTTTGAAAATTAATTAATTTTTTAAAGAACTACATCAAACATTATTATCTACAAGTAACAGTAATATTATTAATAATAGTAATACTAGCTAATTTAATTTATAAAAAAAGATAGAAAGATAGCATATTGAATGTTCTATATATATATATATATATATATATATCATGTTCATTCAAGTGAGAAGTTTGTGTGTGAATGTAACACAATTACTTGTTAGAAAACAATTGTTTGATTTAAACAAGAAATTTTGGTGGAATTGATGGTGACGCCATTAACATTGATACTACTAATTGCTTCCAATTTCAATGAGAAATCACAATGCAAACAATGTAGCTAAGAATTATACAAAAATATTCAACTAATATTACAAAAAACATGTACATATGTATTAAAAGATACATACTTACATACATCATCATATATATATACATATAGATTCAAACACTTGAGTTATTAAATATTGTAGAACAATTAAATAAAAGTTTGATGGAATTATTGAATTCTATATTTTTTTTATATATATATAATAATAAATACAAGAAAATATTTTCCAATAATTGTTGAAATTAGTAGTAAGGTATTTATTAAAAGTACATCAACCATCTTTGTGTTTACATAATTAAATATGTTTTCTAGTACTTTTCTAGGGCTAATAATTTTAGTAGATTTTGAATGTACATATTTTTTGAAAATCCCAAAACATAGCATTACTTAAGTTATTCATTTTTCACTATTATATTAAACAAAATATCATTTTGATCTAACTTTTATTTATATTAGTTTCAAACACCGATTTAGAACAGAAGAATCTCTAAAGTAATGATTTTCTAAAGTAAACCATCAATACCACGTAATGAGTTCAAGAGCGCTCCTTGATTCAAAATACACGTTAAATAACACAATTCAATATCTCTAACAGTGAATCTATTTGTAAAACAATGAAGTTCATGGAAATCAGATCGCGGTTGTCGGTATGCAAGCCGAAGTCTATCTCCGTGCGTTGGATTCTCCGCCTTGTCTTCATCCACCAGTAATCCCCAAAATTTGAATTTTATTGGACAGAATCACGTTTCATCCGTTCACCCATCCATCCTCCTCGAAGTCCTCTTCGTTTGCTCCATCTCTTCCCGCGACTTGAAGCTGGGGAGGCGGGAACGAAGCCTTTGCTTCTCGTCGCCAACTTCACCTCGCAGATGATGCCAATGCCGCTGCCATTCTGCTTTCGCCATTGATTCCTACTTTCATATGTGTTAATTCTGTTTCCGTGTGCTTTTCTTTCTTTGATATGGTCAAGTTTTGCGATAGTTAGGGTAGGAGTTGTTGGGTGTGGTGACGAGGAGAGTGTGAGTGAGAGAGGACAGGGGAGTCGGGAGCAATGGCGATGGTGGCGAGCAGTCTCGGGTTGTCGTATGAGGACGCTCGGAAGCAACGTGTGGAGGAGAACAATAGGAGGATGGCGGAGCTTGGGCTGTTCGACTTGTCCAAGAGCTTGAAAGAGGTGAAGAACGTTGCCTCGGCGAGGAAACCGCTGGCGAAGCGGAAGGTGTCGTCTCAGGAGTTGACAACGGAGGCGCGACGATCGGGGAGAAATGCTGGGAAGATGGTGAGCTACAGGGAGCAGCTGGATATGATGCCGGGAATGCGTATGCGATGTGGGACTAGAGATAGGCAGTCCCTGGCACGTCGGTACCTGTCCGACGCTGCACGTATGGCTGCTGTAGATGCGGCCGAAGAGGTTTACAAGGATATCAAGAACCCTGCCTTCGTGAAGCCTATGTTGCATTCGCATACTGCCAGTGGCTTCTGGTTGGGTCTCCCTTCAAACTTTTGCAAGCAGTATTTGCCACATCGTGATGAAAGGATCGTTCTGGAAGATGAGCAAAACATGGAATGGGAGTGTCTGTATCTTGCTCATAAAGTAGGCTTGAGCGGTGGTTGGCGTGGTTTCTCACTTGACCATGAACTTGTGGACGGGGATTCCTGCATCTTTGAGCTTGTCGGGTCCACGAGGTTTAAGGTTTATATTTTTCGTTGTGAGGAACAGTTTGAGGGAGGGGAGAAGGCAGATGGAATCGAGGGTGGGGAAAATGTGTCGCACAAACATACGGATACAGGGAACAAGAAAAAAACCGGGGGTATGAAGTATTACAAGAAGTCTCCTGCCTCTGCACCGCCGGAAATTGGCAAACCAAGGAGATTAAGCACCTCTACGCGGAAGCTTGATCTGGAGGACAAAGAAGAAGACGATGATTCTCCGAAAGCGTCTGAAATGATAAAGAAAGAGGTTCACACAGATTTGGATAGCCCGTCAAAACCATCGAAACGCAGGTGTGTCAAAGAGGATGGTGACAGTAAAGTTGGTGAAGTTCACCAAAGTAAGAAGAAAGATGTGAGGTCCATGAAACAGAAGGAGGGCTGTAAAGAAGTGGTTGATTTAGACAGTAAAGTAGGTGGCGACGATGCCCATAAATATCCAGCTCAAAGCAATGGTAACCAATTAGAGATTCGATCATTTGGAAGAATCACGAGGAGCTCCATAGCCAGGTCGCTGGCGAAGTGAAGCGAGCAGGAAATCTGAACAGGAATTCAGTTAAACAATCTGTGATTACCGTCCCATGTGGATTATAAGACCGAGATGTGTGGAGGACTGCCATTGCCAAATGGCACTGTTGCTGATGAGATACTGATAGGAATTCTTGTAAGCTTCGCAATGCAGAGCCCCTGTACTTAAAGTTTGAAGGATGAAAGAACCACAAAATATAGCAGTTCTTTCTACCCTGAAGTTAAAGGACTTATTCATTGTTGTCGCAGCTTGTAAGCGATTTTCTGTGAACACTACAGCGGAAAACTGTGTATACAGCGACTCTATGCAGGTAACCAAAGTGTCTGGCCGAAGGTTATTAGTTTCTCTGAAGGTCGCTTCGTCAAGAATTTCTATTTCAATCAGATGTTCTACAGATGAAGGCATTCTTTATTTTCTATTCTATACTGTATTTACGTACTAATCACAGGGTTTAGGGCATCGGTGAGCATCCTAATACGTATTTGCAAGAAAATATTATTACTGACAGTATTTCGAGCCTCACTCGAGTTCTGGGTCTCTAGAATGACTCTGATTTCTTTCAGTACTGAACCTGTTTTGCGATGTCCGTCAGTTGTTCGCAGCTAGCTTCGCTTTATGAAATAGATACCTTGAGAACGCGAGTGTAAAACCACATTTGATACTTTCTCTCACGGGGATGGAATGTGTTCATTGGATTGACCTTACTTCGTAATCAGATGGCTTTCTCTCTTTTAAGCTCTCTTCGGCAATTTGAGAAGCATTGGCCCTGTCCTGAGGAGCGCATTGCAGACGTGGAATGTGCTACTTTTGAAGGATGAGCTGCTGTGAGGAGTATGGATTAGAGGCCATGGTAAAAGATGTTAGCAGATGCTTAAATGTATGGTGCAAGTCATGCTAGTAGTGAGGCTTTGAGAGGCAGCATTAGCCATAGCGATCTCTTCTCAATCCCCGGCCATCTGGGGGACCATAGCAGGCCCCAGTAGCAGCAGCAGCAGCAGCGTAAGGTGATGTGTACAGTATTAGTGGTCTTGTTGGGCAATCTGCATTGTTGTCTGAGTCAGATCTTTGAGGCTAGAGTTTGTGGTATCCAAAGATGTGTGTGTTCCATAAGCTGTGAGAGTTTGGATGTGTGCGTGCACATGCAGTGTTAGGATGAGAAGCAGGATTTGTCACAACTGGGGTGACTTGGCAGTTGAAAGTCTATTAATGGTTGCACTGTGCTGACCGAGGTGAAAGAGGTAGAGAAGAGGTCTTAAGAAGGTTGGAGAGCAGGTTTCGGGGACCTGGTGAGTATGGATTGATAGTATTTTTCCACAAGAATGTGCTGAGCTTTCGGCAGCGGTAGTTCAAACTGGTATTGCTCCCGGAGTGTGGTTGCAAAGAATACAATAATGCATCAACAAAAGTACATCATCGTGAAAGCAAATGTTAGAACTTGTGCGTTTCTCTCATGGTATTCTTGCTTGTTGCAGATTTTTCACTAATAATCTTGTTTCAATGTATTGAGATTTCTGAACCTAGTATATGATATATTATTGCAAAATCAGCTTGTTAAATCTTACGGTAGTTCCTAGCACGCTATTATGTAACAAGTTTTATCTCTTCTTTCCCTCATCCTTGAAATTGTCTAAATAATGAGTGATTTTGCTTATTGATTCTCGGAATTAGTCAAGATGGTGCTTCTGGTATTCAACTAGATGCTTCTGCTATCTTGAAGTCAGAATTTATGCTGTTAGCTTTGTGCCATGGTTAGTAAACGGTTTGAGGAAAGATACATAAAGAATGGAGTTGAGCAAATTCAAACAAATTTTGGTTTTATAGAGCTCATGTTCACCATTTTTTTGTTGTGATTTACAATCTATTACATAAAACAATTTAGATATAAGGTGAAGAGACAAAGAAGCCTTTTCATTGGTTGTGAAGAAAGGAATGCAAGGAATGCAAGAGCATGAGAACTCAGGGAACTTAGAAATACAAGATCTTAGGAATTGCAGGAACATGGGACTGTTTGGGGTCTTGTAGTGTGAAAGAGATCACTCTCATAAGCTTTTATAGTTTTTTTTGCCTAACCGCATGGATTTTTGCTAATATCATATAAATGATCAACTTCCAAACTATTCTTAAATATAAATTAAAATACATCTATTTTTTGTTTGAAGTTGAAAACAATGTCTTTTCAAGGCTTGTTTAGTAGGTAGTATGATTGTGTTGCTTCCAATGTTATGAGAAGTCTTCTTTTAATATTAGAAAGTGGTGACATAAATAAGCCAAATGAAATATGTATTTAATAAGATATTTAATGTATAAAAATAAAAAATAAAAAATATATTTGACTATAGAATAAATGTAATAAAGAACAATAAAGTAAAAAGGTGCATTAAAAAAACATTACAAAGAATTGTGAAGCAAATGAAATAAAGCCAATACAAAAATCACTAAAGAAATTAATTTGCTTGTAAAATAAATAAAAATTGATTGTATATAATTTTTTAAAAAATATTTATTAAAGGCTTGAAGAATGAATTTTAAGATAATAGATTCTATTTCAAGTTGTTATTTTCTTTGTCTTCTTCTACTTATAAGGCAATTGCACTTAGATGAGATAAAAGAAGTGATATATGCTTTGTCAATTAGATGTGAAGCTTTTTTATAATAGAAGATAAGCCATCACATAGTTCCATGTCCTCTCTTCCTCCTCTTCCTTGCCATTTTGTCTTTATTGCTTTAAATATTATCTTTTTAGATGTTTTGTTTTGATAAAGATCTATATATACTTGCTAATGTAATTAATTGTTGCAAAGATTACAAATTTATGGTATAAACACTAATTTTTAATTATTAGTCTTATATTTAGATAAGTTTATGTGAGCAAAAAGGTTTCATCTTTTTCTTATTCTTAGAATTAGCTACTTAATAAGGTTTTTGTGAAATAGTAACTTATATCACCTAATATTAAAAGCATCACTTATGGATTGTATTTGATAAAGTTGCAATTGTAGATGTTAAAGTTGTAAATATTAATAGCTTTAAAGACATTATATGCTTCATGTGTGATCCTTATATGAATATCATTGTAATTGATTCATGATTAAAGGTCTATTGTTGTTTTTCAAAGAACACTCACTCCTTGTGTAATCAATTCTTATGTGAAGGCTATTAATACATTGCAAACATAAATCACTTCATGTGTCATTAATTCTTGTGTGAATGTTGTTGTGATTGATTTCATATTTAAAGAAATGTTGATATTTTACTAACAAATCTTACTTTATCCATGATCAATTTATATGTGAATAATATTATAAATGATTTATACATAAATTAAATTGATACTTTTCTACTAAGATTCATCCATCTAGAATCTATTACTATGTAAATACCATTGTATTTGATTCAAGTGTGAGGGTTGTTGGTGCATTGCATATACAAACTATTTTATATATGATTAATTGTTATGTGAATATTATTATAATTGATTGATATACAAAAGGTTATCATTGTATTATTGATAAAACTTACTTTATTTATTCTTGATTGCTATTTGAGTGCACTTGTGATCAATTTATATGTGTATTATAATTATTATTATTTTGAAGTACTCATTATGTTATATGAAATGTAATAAGGAATATAGTAGTTTTATTAAAATTTATGTATATAAAGATTAAAATTTATGATTAAATTTTAATCACATATTTTGAATATATTTATATGAAATCAACATACAATAACACTATATAAATTTGCTTCATATTATGTAAAAAAAATAAATATTATATAGTAATAGTAATTTGATGAAATAATAAGAAAATTGTAATGACGTTCTTATTCAAAAAAATACAACTCAAGAATATTAGACTTGAAGAAGTAGACTTTGTTATGTAGTTGTGCTTCTTCTTAAGGATGGTTTATGTGTAGCAAATTTTTTGTTATTAGGAAATTTTGGTGATACCATACAAGATATTTAAGGTATTGTTTCAACTTTTACAACCCGAATATATAATATGAATCTATACGCAATGGTTAGAAATTCATAAAATGATATTATTAATCTAAATATCATATTTAAATTGAATTGTTTCTTGAATATAAAAATCTACATATATTGTTGATTTTTTGAGATGTCATACTACCATAATAAAAATTTATATCCAAGGTTCAAATATAAAACAATTTCTAGAACAAGCAAATTTAATCACGACATGAGACTAAATACCAAGCATATTCGAAATATCTAATCCATATTTTTAACATACAAAATAGACTATAATACATAAAAGTTCACATTACACTACAATTGTTAAATGTTCAAAGAAACAAAATTGACCAATTTGTTAAAATGCACTACAATGGATGTTTTAATCAACAACAATTTATAATTTATATGATATGACTTGTTTAAGCAACTCCCTCAATGTAAATAATTTTTTTTAAACTTCTTTTGTTAAATCCTATTTGTGATAGACTCTAAAGAGATTAAATTGTAATGAGGTTTCAAAGAGTATTAGAAATTACCACTTATTCTTTTAAGAGGAAATATAGTTTTTTGTTGATGATATTGAGATTTTAGATTTTATATGTGGTATTTGTATAGAGAATGCAACGAATAAAAATAATGATTTACCTTGCTTCTCTTTATAATAGAAATGTAAGATAAAACATAAGTTTTTGTTTTAAAGGTATATAAAAAAAAATTAATAATAAAACAGGTTACAAATTAAAAACATCTATTGAAGTTATTGAATTAAACATTTGTGACATAGTTGGAGTTAGTTAACATCATTTTTATTGCGTAGAGTATATTTGAAGCCAATATTACTGTAACATAAATTTGTAGAAAATAAATTTATTACTTGATGTTGTTTTAATGATAGCAACATTACATATTAGCAAATTTTGGGAAGCAATATAGCTTTTACATGAGACTTGTATTGATAGTTAGAATATTTGCACAATAATTCGAAACGAAATTTGCAGCTGGTTACAAGATAATAAAGTGCAGAAGTAAAAAAAAACAATTTTTGCATGGCATAGTCATTTGTTTTTGTTAAAACTTAAATAAACTACGGGTAGCAATTGACTGGTTGTTTGATATTGTTTTATTAATAGAATAAGAATAAAAAATAAACAAGTTTTTTTTTTTTTTTTTTTTTTTTTTTTCACATAAATTGTAAAGTACAGAAAATTACATTCAATACAACATTAGCTTCTAAAGCCATTTGAGCTACAACAAATAAAAAATAAAAAATAATTTTAAAATAACGCTTGTATATTATAATATTATAATAGAGGAAATTTGAAATTCAAATGTGCTTATTATAATATAACCATCTTTTTGTCATATGTTCTAATTATCTTACTTAATAGACATAACATGGCTAATATTAAATAACAATTGTATTATTAATAAATCGTATTAAAATTATAAATTAATATTTTTCTATTATAGCTTTATCTTCTTATTAATTGGTTTTATTAATTTGATTTTGGATGTCTTTTTAAACTTAGTTCAAGTTTACAACTACAAAAGCAACTCATGTTATTTCTGTAAAATACACTTAAAAGTCATACTATATAGCCAAAATAAGACAAATACATCTTGAACTACCAATTTAATTAACAATGTATTTCATGCTACAATGTCTTTATTTCCACTAAAAACATTTAAAACCATAAAATCAATAATTTAAATATTTCATCAAAATATGTTGTTAAGAAACTTCAACAAAGAAGCATGAAATTGAATACTAACTCACTCTACACCATACTCCCTTATGTTGTGCTTATTATGCAAGTCTTATTTTTCAAATTTCTTTAAGCTCCAACAAAAATAAGATTCTTTTCTTTTCAAAGCAAGTCAAAGCTATTCTCTTGTACACAAATCCCTTGACTCAATTCAAATTGGATCTTTTTCTTGAGAAAATTGCACTCAATCTTTCCTTCATGAACTTCATGGCTATGAATTTTTTTGCAGGAATTGTGGTTTTAGAAAAAAGCATTTCTACTTCTTCCTCTTCTTCGTATCATAGCCTATGGGCACCAGAACACTTGCAGCATGAGTTGAGCTGAATTTGCTCCTTCTGCAGCAGAAGCCATGCACAATCAATGTTGAGCTGAGACTTCATCGCAGTATCCACCGATCACTCGCGACAGATTGCAATGTGGTGCTCAAGCAAGATGCTGCAGCAAACTGCAGCCATGAGGATTGGTGAAGAAAGACAAACCAATGCTCCATGTTTTCACCCACTTGTGACAAGTCCCTGCAGTTACAAATTGCTTGGGTCATTGTGGAGGCTCAGCTGGAGTACATCCGGCACACTGCCGAGAGTAGATGCGGAGATTTCACCACCAGGACCCCATCCTGTAGTTTGTGTCGTGATGATTTGATGTTTCCATAGCAATATTGGCAGAGGGGCGTTGCCACTTTGTGAAGGAGCAGATGCTTCCGACTCCAGTCACCATGCATGTCAGTCTTCAACATCAAGATAGGTTTACATTCATTGTGTCAATGCCACCTAAACGGTAAAGCTGCAAAGTTCATTAAAGTCCATTGTGATTCTGATCACTGTCAAGAGTGCAATAGAATAGTCTTCATGATTCAATTTGTACAGCATCTTCGGATGCGCTTGGAACTGATGTGTTCGACTTTATACCCTACCCTAACGACGTTTTGAGCAAGGGCAAGCAATAATCGCCGTGACCACACCCAGCTTAAGGAACTTGTGATGTCGTGTAGTTGGGATCCCCTGTAATTGTCCCTCCCATTCTGGAAATCAATTGCTCTGCCTTTGTTAATGGTGTGACAGGCATCGTGAACAGCAACACCAATCGAAAGATAGAGGTGAAGCCCACACCAAACCAAAGACCATTAAAATATCACCTCCTCAATCATCCATGGTGCTGTAGCCGGTTGGTAGTATTGTAGCACCTTGGCGAAGTCATTTCCAACACAGACAGATTCTATTTCACCGAGGCATCTTCCAATTCCTACCCAACTAAGAATTGAGGAACTAAAAAAAATACCGCACAACGACATTTGATATATAACTTATAGGTGAAAAAACGCTTCATGTAGCAGCTGGGCAGCCGCGACCGAATGGAACTCTGCAAATGTATTCCAGTGGCTAGTGCATTACGAAATCAAAAGACGCATCGACATCCGTGACTTTTTGTCTGAGAACTGATGATGAAAAAGCTGAGCGTTCGCATCTTCGCTTGCTGAATGAAATGTTATACGAATTCACGAGATGAATGTTCGCTGTCGTAGAAGCCTCGCATGGGACCCACTAACTGGTACAGTATTTTCATCTATAAATCCGATGTGGGAATAGATGAAAGTTCACGATGCGTAGAGTTCAGGTCTGACTGGGTATACGATATTCCTGCTTTTTCCTGGTTTGTGTCTATTTGCTGTGTGCATCGTCGCAATCGTCGGACAATGCTCTCGTCGTTCTCTTGAGGTTTGAAATTCTCCGCTGACATTGACTTGGCTATGTGAACTCGTCCCGGTTTCCAGCTTGAGTTCATTCCAACAGGATCAGGAGAGCATTTTAGCTTGTGTGGATTTGGGGGACTTTCTTCAGCGATGACCCAGTGTATTGATCCTAGGTTTATCGTGTTGCTGAGTTAGGTTTTATTGGAACGCAGGGGAGGATCTCTTGGGTAAGAGGGAGAACATTTGTGGGTTTCGTATGATGAATTTGAGCATAGTATCGAGTGATGACGAATTGTATGCGAAGCTTTTGTCGTCTGGCAAGTTGGGGATTTGTGTTGATCAGTCCATGGATGTCAAGGCAACGTAGGCAATCTGCCTGGGCGGAGAAGTGATTCAATTTTCCGGATTAGGGTATGTGTTGTGTGTTGTGAGAAACATGGAGATGGAGGATCGGATGGGGTATGCTATCGTCCAGGCCTGTAGAGCAATTAAGCGACGCCACAAGTTGGAGGAGGGGGCATTTGCGCCAGCTATTGCTGCTATATCCCATGTGGTCAATTCGCCGGCCACTCTGGAATTGGGAGAGAAATTGAAGGATTTGCAGATAGAGTTGAATCAAAGTTATCAAAAGCATTCACAGGTATCGGATAGGCTAGTACAGGAAGTTACGGAGAGCCAATCGTTACGTACGCAGCTTGGGGACAAGGAAACTGCTATCAATGAACTGCAAGAGGAGCTCACTGCTGCAAAGGAGAAGATTTTGCAAATTGAAATTAACGTAAAGGAGACACAAGGAGCCCTAGATGCCACCACCTCTGAGGTTGACGAGCTCCGATCACATGTCAAGGAACTCGAAGGACAAATCATCGATTTGAAGAAGGAGAATGACATGTTGATTGAGCGTTGGATGGATCAAAAAATGCGGGACGCGGAACGGCTCAACGAGGCCAACGCTATGTATGAGGATATGATGGAGAAGGTTAAAGCTGGGCAGCTAATGGAGCTCGCTCGCACCCAAGTGGATGGCATAGTTAGACATAGTGAAGCTGGCGCAGAGAACTACGTCAAATCTGGGCTCCCTTCGGCGGTGAAGCATGTCATCAGGGCACACGATGTCATGTGTTCAGCAATTCATTTCGAACAAGGAGGCAAAAATGTCTACAGTGGAGGACATGACAAGCTTGTCAAAAGTTGGAATGTGGTAAATGGATCTTGTATGTCCACTCTTAGGGGTTGCTTGGGTTCTGTATTGGACTTATCCATGTCCTACGACAAAAATCTGGTTATAGCAGCATGTAGTGACCATAAATTGCATCTGTGGGAGAGTCAGACAGGTCGGATGCGGCATACCTTGACAGGGCATACTGAGAAGGTTGTTTCTGTTGACATTAGCAAAACAAGCAATCGACGCGCCGTGAGTGCTGCCTACGATCGGACATTGAAGGCATGGGACATGCAGACAGGATATGTCACCAACACTTTGATTTGCTACTCTAATTGCAACGCCGTGGCCCTGACCATGAACGGGGAGGTTCTTTGCTCGGGTCATATGGATGGGAACCTACGCTTGTGGGATATCCGCTCTGGGAAGCAGTCAAGCGAGGTTGTTGCCCACAACCAGGGAATAACATCAGTCTCTGTGTCCAGAAATGGCCACACGATGCTGACCAGCGGAAGGGATAATGTGCACAATATGATCGATGTTCGCACCTTAGAAGTTCAGGCTTCGTTTCGAGCTCCGGGCCTTTTGGTAGCAACAAATTGGAGCAGATCATGTCTGAGTCCAGACGAGAGATATGTTGCTGCAGGTGGAGCGGATGGATCTGTAGTAGTATGGAATCGTTTCGCAAAAGATGGTACCGTGACTCTGAAAGGACATTCCAGCCCTGTATTAGCTTGTACGTGGAGTGATGAAGGTAGACCACTGGTTACTGCAGACAAGAGCGGGTGTGTCATCGTGTGGGAGTAAGTTATCCATGTCCTTCACTTGTAAATACGGTCAACCAACTAAGCTGACGCCATTTATTGAAAGCATGGCAAGCTTTGGGGCCCATGTCAGGAGATTAAGCTTGAGGCTCTTTGGTCGTTATCCATCAAAGCGAGCACTCATTAAGGAATTTATTTTCCTTGAATTCAACTTGGAACCGTGGAACAGTGATTGCCAAGGTCCAAACAGGACATAGAATGGATTCATTAAAAATATATTTATGAATTCAATCTTGTTGTGTGTGAAGGATGTATGCCCATTCTGCAACCAAGTATGAAAGTTTACTTCGATCTTTTCATTCCTCCTCTCAGATTAATCGTAAATTTAGAACGTCAGTTGTTTGTGTGTTCTCTTCCTTTTTGTCTTCTTTTCTCCCCTAATCTATCTGGTACGGTACACATAGTGCTGTAAAGGAAAGCGAAATGCTGCTTTTCGTTTTCAATAGCTCTTTCTTAAACATTGAGAGATCTGTGTAATTCATGTAAATTAAGATAAGGAATGGGCAGGATCTGAGAGATGGTTGGACAGCTTGCTAGCTCATTCTCATTAAATTTAGAAGTGATTGCCTCAAATCTGGAACCAAATAGTCAGCTCTCAGGTTGGAACATACATTCTTACTTGGATAGACGGTCCTTAGGGGTGTAAAGCAATAACTGTAGAGGCTGCATTATAGATCGATTGTCTATGTACTATGAATGGGGACCTTCAATCTGGACACAATAAAGTACACTACAATTCAAGAATATATATTCATACTTGACAAAGAGATTGCAACCTGGAATTGATATTATGGAATCCACAAATGTGTATTGGCCACATTAAGATCATCAATTCATTCTTTGTCAAAATTCATTTGAGTTGTAATAAATTTCAATTGTTTTTCCAATTGAGCTAAGAGTAACCTTAGTAACAGCAAATTATAGTCTACATGATAGTCCCCAAGTAACCTAAGTTCTAGATAATTATTATTGAAGTTTACAACAATTTTCAATCTTAATGTTATTGCTGGCATTTTAATGCTGTATTTTCTCCACTGCATTTGTGGGCATCAAAACCCCATATGTTCTGTTGCACAATGCTTCATTAACATGACATTTTTTTCATGATTGTAACATAATATTGATTATTGTTCATAATGGATATTATTATTACTGTTTTTATTTTACGTTTCTTACACATGACTAATACTTACTACAAATCATCTTAGCAAAATGACCTCTGGGTAAAGTATGCAAATATAGATTACAGTTTGAAATTTCAAGAATTAAATTTTAATTTTAAAAAATATATTTCATTATAAAAAGAAACCTTGTATGGATTACAAACTCTCTTATATTAGCAGACTTTCTTCCATACTCATGTATTTATTAGTATTTTAGATGTAGACAAGATGATTAATAGATTAATATTATTCCAACTATTGTGGTAGTTAGTACATACTTGAAGACCAATTATTTGATTAAAATTCGAAAAAAACATTATTCCAACTATTGTGGTAGTTAGTACATACTTGAAGACCAATTATTTGATTAAAATTCGAAAAAATATTGTTTTATTTTAAAATAAATTCAAAATCATATTAAAAAAATTTGATTGTTAAAACTAAATATTATTATTATTCCTCTACTTATTTAGAAGAATGAAATAGAAGTAAAGCAAAATATTAAAAAATATGCATTTATATATATTTATTATCAAATTAAAGATAGATATTTAAATATAAAAAGTAAATATATATTATATAAATAGATGGTTCTATAAAAAAATCAAATATATACTAACAAATCATAACTATATAAGAATATATTTAAATAAATAAATAATTGTATTGACCTATAATAAATTAAAATAAATCATCTAAATTAAAATAATAAATGTTTGAAAATTTAAAAAAATTGACAAGATTGAATATTGTTTTAACCTTGCATCTATTTAAACTACTTTTTAAATTTGAAGTTATAGTATTTAAATTTATAATAACTTTTTGAACAAGCTACAAAAATTATTTTCATGTAAATTATACCAAGTAAACCATTAGATGTTGGTTTCTAACAAATATTGTTGATTGACTTAATATCAGAAGTTTTAAAGAAATTTTTAAAATATTATCCAAATAGTCTTTTATTACATGTAATATAATCCAAATAGTATAATCCAAATAGTCTTTTATTACATGTAAGTGTCTTTTTTAAGAAGGGTGGTTACTTATTGCATCAAAAGGACTTAGCTCCTCCTTGTGAGTTGTTTTTCCCTTCCCAAGACTTACTAACAATACTTTGTTCATTATTTCCAATCTCTTGTTCCTCAAGTTCTAGTTGCGATGCCAAGGCAAAAGCATCATTGATATTGGTGGGAATGTTTTATTTTCCCAATACTTCTTTATTGCCACACTAAGTCCATTGTAGAAAAAGAGCTGCAAGTATTTCAAACAATCTAATTGAATGTATGAAAGTTGGTTTTGAGAATCTCCCAAATACTTCAAAAGGGAGGTTTTTCATCTTTCTTGTCTTAAGTGAAGCAATTGCAATCCTTCTATAAAGTTTTGTCACTTTTAAGAGGCTCAAGATCCTCAAGTGAAGAAGAAGAGTTAGAATGAGGAGGAAGAAATCCAATGTCATAAAAAGTAGCCAACTTAAAACATTCAAGAGATTCTATAGGAAACTCAAGTATAATTAGTTACAAAACATTTATGTATAAGATTTTTACTTTTTTATGTATATATTTTATTCTTGCTTATTTATTTATGTGTATATAAATATATATATATATTCCATAATTATTTTTGCAACTTGAATAAGATATTTTTGTAGTATATATTTTTAATAATACCCCTAAAATATTAACAAAAAATTCTCAACACCAAATTTATTCATGTCTTTATATAACTAATACTAGTAATCAAATATAATATATTTTTTTATTCCAAATGGTTATAGAATATATATATATATATATATATATATATATACATACATATATGTTTATTCAAATAAGCATTGATAATTTTGGTAGTGACAAGTCTTAAATACCATTCCAACCAAATTGCAACCCCTAATATACATTAGAAAACTTGGAAAAAAAATACTCACAAGTATCCGATCTTTATAATGTTCAAAGTATTTACACCCACAATATTCAATTAAAAGAATGAAAAAAAAAAAAAAAAAAAAAAAAAAAAAACTCAGTTTTTTTGGAGGCCAACAACTAACCATTTCACAATCTAATATTAATATCGGAACAAAGGAACATGTTGACATTATTAATATAAAATTATTAATATTGGAACATAGTAAAGTATATAAATCATAAGACAAGTCATAGAACATGTGACATTCTCTAACCCTAAACCCAGCATGCCACCCACCAACTGCCATCACACTCTTGTTGGTTGGCATTGACCTCCCTGTTCCCTTGTTGTTCTCAAATGTTCCCAACTGTTCCCAACTGTTCCCCATGCTGAGTACACCCTGGTAATACCTGTCACTCCCCTCCTCTTGCAGGCCCATCTTCTGCATGCACATGAAAATGCTTCCTGTAAGAAAGAGAGATTTCACAAACAAACTGAACTCAGGGATAGATAGAGAGATATAGAGGTAGGCCCACAGTGGACTTGACTGTAGGGGGTCAGTCAGTGCTTGACCCCCACTTCCCAAACGTGGCTCTCTTATCATGTGACATCTATTTATTCACACTTCCTTTGCATCAAGTTTAACTGTCAGGGTTTTCTTTTACTGACTTTATTTACTTAAAACATTTTGGTCTCTTTTTTCAGATGGAAAAGAAGTCCTCCATTTGCATTGACATAAGGAGAGATTTTCCTTCTTTAGACCCGGTCTACCTGAATTAAATTCTCCCTTCCCTTCCTCCCTCTTACATTAACACTCAATAATATATAGCTCATCCATCTTTGGTCACGTTTTCTGTGCATCCCTCTGCAAAAAAGGGTTCTCCCTGTTTGCCTACGTTTCACTCATTTGGGTAAAATCCTGAGAAGCTTGTAGTATCTTACAGTCTATTGTAGTGTGGTTGTACAGAGTGGACAGAGAACAGCATCAAATGCTTTTATGGTGCCACCATGGGGTGCATAGGATCCCCTCCCCAGAAGGACACTCCCTTAGGCTTATGTATCCCCCTCCCAGTCAAACCCCTCCCTGTTAGCTTCACATGAGGAGAACCCACCCTAATTGCACAAAAAAGGGGAAAACATTGTATTAATACTAATAAATCAAGACATGATAAACCCAACTGAGGCATAGAAAGAAAGCGACATTGATCCATGTGTGTTGACTGTTTTGAGACCTTGGGTGGCAGTTTTCTTATATTCTTTTTGGCAGATGTGAAGTGAACCCATTTCCAAAAGAGAATTGAAATTTAAGCTGCCAACATCTTGGTACCTCACAAGGCTGGTAAATGTTGATTTTTGATTTTTGTTTTTTTTTAAAATGTACCAAAGATCATATTTTGTATGTAGACGAAGAGGTTGGGAAGCATGTATTGTAACCTCATTGTGCAAAATTCTATGGTTTCGATTAATTAAACTTCCATCTCTATGTTTTGATTTTTTTGCTAGCCATCCAAGATTCATCTCTTTTGTAGAGAGACTTTGCACTGAGGTTCTGCTATTTATTTCATTTTAGTTTTTTTAGTTTGTATGCTTGATCCTGCATCCATGTCCATATCATTTCTGTTTTGTGTGTCATTCCACATGGTATCGTCATAAGATTGTGCATTGCATTAAATCCAAATATTCCATGTGTATAAAGTGCACTTTAAGGACCAAATAATTTTGAGACGTTTGTTCTTGGAGGCTCACTGTGCTGCAAAACTAACTTGTTATATTAGAAATGCTTTCTATGGTTGTCTATTTTAATATTATTTTAGGTATAGGTAAGTGAGGTCTGTCAATTCTATATTCTTCTCACTGGTTTGCTTTCCCAAAATCTAACTGACACCAGAGTGAGATCCTTGGATAAATTTTGGCCCTTTGTATCCACTGATATGGCCTTCTTCCTTGCCCAAAAATCTTTGCTGGTTATTACTGTGTTACAAAGCTTTGTTATATGACAAATGAATAAACATTAAAAATATAACAATAATATTAATCATAATAAAAGAATTGATAAATGCTGTACCAAGTTTTTCTCTAATTGGATATTGAAAATTTGGGAACTACTACAGGACAAGAGGGACCATAAAATGATTCAATTGTTCAAATGTTTTTGGAACATAATTTAAAGTCTTGCTAACTATTCTTTAAAAAGGGGGCTTTGATACAACCTTCTCCATGTATTTTCTATAAACACGTAAAAGTAAAAATACGACACAAGAAGAAATTAGAAGAAATCCAAACAGTGTGTGAGATTTCATTCTGTGCAATTACAACAAAAACCTAGTAACAATATCATAGCAAAGAAAGCTCACTTGTATTCAAAGCCACAATAAATTATTGATGGAAGAGGGAGGAAAAGAAAGGCTCAACAATTGGGCTTGTGCACAACCCAAGGGGATTTAGTCTTAAGTTTTTTGGGATATATTTCATCTGTGATGATACCTCAAAGTAGCCCATGATATTTTAAAGTATCACTTGATACTTCTACAAAGCACTCACCTTGTGAGGTCTGTGATTTTGAAGTCCAGATATTAAAAGAAGGGGTGGTGAAATATCAAAAACTGCCTTGCTTGCCTTAATTGTCTACTCTCTTTGAATTCATACCACATTGTTCTTTGACTTTTCCAAATCACCAAAATATCAAGTGAAATTACTTCTGAAATTTGAAGATAGTCATAAAGTTTGAAAAGTGATATTTTGGGGGGTGATATTTCAAGTGATCTGTGATATTTGGTTTCCCAAAAGTTTGAATCCCCTTACTGAGTGGGGATCCAGTAACGGAGAGGGTTTTGTCTTAGCTTTGCTCTAGTGCAGGCAATGAATGATACTAAGAAGCTCTCATGGGTACTATGAACACATTTGTTGTATTTTTCCACAAAGGAGATTCTGAGGAATGGTGGTGACATGGACGTGCAAGCTTGAAGCCTCCCTCCCTCTCGGTGATAGGGGGGGGGGGAGTGGTGATGCTGATGCGGCATCAGTGTCCGTTTGTGGCAGTGTCGCGTGTGTCTCTGCATTCTTGAGCCGTCTCGAGGTGTGTCTGGGCCCTGACGAGACTGTCACGAGCCATGTGGTACAAGACAGAAAGAAGAAGAATCCTAGTAAGTTATCTCCATCTCTCTCTCTCTCTCTCTCTCTGTCTCCGGGTCCCTTCCTCCCTCGCTCCCTCGCTCCTCCGAATCCCATGACCAGAGTCTCCCTCAAGTTGACCTAATTTGTCTAGTCAGGGTTGATTTATTTGCACACCAGAGGAAAAAAAAGGCACAATCACGGATCCTGTCAGCGGAGGAGAGGGAGAGGAGAGGGAGAGGAGAGGGAGAGAGAGTGGGAGAGGAGGGGAGGTAAATTTATTTTTGGTGAGGGGAGAGCTTTTACGCGAGCTCGATTGGTACACATGGCTCTGTGACGAGATGGATCTGTCATCGCCATCATACTTACTTCGCCGCTCTCGAGTTTTCTAGCCCCAGGACGAGCTACAACGCTGTGAACCTTCTGAACAGGGGCTAACGTTTCCGCTTTCATTGCTCTTTCCAACGCTCATCTGTCTTTCTCCAGCTGTTCTCTTTTCATTCTCCTACTACACCAAGTAGCTTGGATTGTGCCGAGGGCTCCCCTAAATAATCTCGGATTCTGGCCTTCCTGGAGTTTTGACCAGTTCAAACGTTCGCACAGTGTCCGTTCTGGAGGGTCTGCACTGTATCGTTTGGTGCCGCTGAAACTCATTGGTTCAATGTGCCTTGCTTTCACGTATGAGCTGTTCTGCTAGACCTGGTAGCAGGGGATGAAATCATTCCGGTTTTCGGTAATTGGAAAGTACAAACGTCTTCCGTGGTATTCAGGGGCTGGGTTATTGGAGTTTCCTCATAGTCAATGTGGCATGGGAACCTGTTTTTGTGCCTGTGCGTCTCTCTGACCACTTACTCTGTAGAGGTCCATCTTAATTTCATTTGTCGGTGATGCTGCAGCGATGTTTTTCTTTTAATTTAGCTTGGACGAGCGCTTTGATACGATGCGCTGCCCGCTTTAGTTGTGTCTGGAAAGTAGGGCGTCACCTCTCGAAGCCTTTGCAGCAGTGCTGGTGGAGAGATCTTCTTTCGTTCCATCCACGTCAATACTTTCTCTATTCTGTTTTGTCTCTGAACTCTCCTGAAGCATCTCCTTCTCCTCATTTTGCGTCCTCGAAGGTCAGCAAGGTTATGATTACTGCTACCGCGAACTGTTGAGTTGCAAAGCATCCGTACGGGGTTTTCCCCTCTTGTAGAATATTCAAATTTTCTAGGACGGCAGGCAGGTTCCTCAGCTGCAGAATTTTTGCTGCGACGGCAACTTCCTACTGTCTCAAGCGGCCTTTTCAGCAGCAGGATTAATCATGTGCGTATGGCTATCCAAGAAGAAGTAATGTTTTCGTGATGCTCGGTGTCGACGTCATCGCGAAGTTGACTTTCGGAAGCCGTGCTCATCAATTTTTTTAGCTCTTGTTCCTAAGTCTAAGCAGAGTATGTTTTCACCATCCAATCCGGTTGCACCATTCTTGTTCAAACGGTATCATGCATGAGAACTATCAGAGTTCTAAGGTATCAGGAGGAAGGTACGGATACGAAGGGTTCCTTTTGTTGAAGTTTGAGCCTTCACCAATAGGCAAGAGACCAGTCCTCCTTAGCCCTGCCAGTTCTTATATTTATTCTCACTTTAAGCATCCGTTCACATTGTTTTTCCCGTTCCAAAACCAGAGGCTTCTGCCTTGTTTCTGTGCAATGAAATCGAGGCACCTACTGTTACCTGCTGAGATCGAGAGGTTTGGGCGTCGCAGTTGGATACGGCGTATAGACATGCGCTCTTAGATCCTGTTAGCAAGCGGCCCAAAGAGTTTTCCACTTCAATGTCGACATAACTTGCCCTCGCATCCGAAAAGTAGCGGAAGAGGAGCTGGATTAAGCTATGGCCTCAGTACCAGCTATTCCCGTCGACGAGGCGGTAGCAGCTCTGTCCACATTTTCACTTGAGGTATGTCCACTTTTTCGTTTTGCCTACAAATGTGTCGAAATTGTAGAATATTACTAGGGCACGGCTTCGCGAGGAGGTTCGCGAGCGATTGCTCATCCAAGTTCATGGCAGAAAACTTAGGGGAGTGATGCAAGAGAGTGACTCAGCTCTCGATGTATTCTTCATTGGAGACGGTCCTGCATTTCACTCTACGACGTTAGTGTGATCAGGGAATTATCTTCAAGATTGCTGAAAGCATCGACACGGGGGAAATGATTCTGAAAAAGAAAATGGGTTTTTTTTGTTTATTTGTTTATTTGTTTGTTTTGTTTTTTTTTTGTTTTTCTGGGTCGTGGCTGGTGGAATAGTACACCATGGACCTGAGGTCACACTATCCAACTTGTCTGGTCCTCTGGAATATCTAGTTCTTAACAGCTTACAGCAAACGTGACATTTCTCGCTCCCAAGGTTTTAAGGCGCCTCTGATCGGCACCTCACTCCGTCTGGGCTTTTCCTCGGCACCTTTCTGTGCTGAATAAGGCGCTTAGTTAAGCTTACAGGGGTGCTGTGAAGTAACCAGTTTTAACATGTCTCACGCTTATTTGCTGGCAGGATGAGCAACCTGACCTACAAGGCATGGGTGTTACTCTGGTCAGTGGACGAGTTGCGACTGAGAGCCCTGTCGGTACGCTACAGTATTGTTCTGCACGTGGATATTATTACAATGTCTCTATTTGCGGTTGAAATATTGTGGTGCATTTTAGCTTGTGCGCGTTTTCCACTGCCCTACCACTTGTATTTTTGCGAATTTTGGCTCTAGCCTCTGCTTTTCGCACTCACATATACTAAATCTGAATCACTGAAACAATGTGAACCGCTCTGTGATGGTGTTGGCCGCTGTTGGGCCTACAGATTATGATGATGTTCCAGCATACCAACTGTCTCTTGTGGAAGATACGAGTGCCGTCACGCAACTGGTATTCATGAGCCTTATACTAGCTCTATTGATCAACTTAATAGGAGAGGATTCTCCGGTTTAATATCTGAGTGCTACCATGGCTAGTTTTGGAAGAGAGGCCGGGTGGACTGTTTTGGCACATGGTCTTTTTGTCTTAGTGAGGTTTGATGACGTTGTACGTTATTGGATGATGGAGTCCGGAAGATTTGGATTTTGACTAACCTGGGAAATTTGATAACGTGCATTGTTGCATTAGGATAACCTGCTTATGGAGGGGAAGGGCCTGGTTTCAATTCTCTACACTTATCGCAGCTGCGTGAAAGCTCTGCCTCAGGTATTTTTCTTTGAAGCTTTTGAACTGCCACAAAACAGAATTTGACCGTATCCACATCTGAGAATAAGTTCAAAGGGTATTAAACTCCACTAGATTTGGGACTTGACCCTATGCTTCAATTCCAGAGAACGTCAAGGTATAGAACCGTCCCAGTCGGATTTATTGCAGATGTTGTATGCAACCTATTCCTGGATCGAGTGGAAGCAAAATTCAGCAGCTCTAGAATGCATCACATGTGATTGTGACAGTGTTAATTATTCTCTCATAGAACTAGACTTGGGAGGGAGAAAATTCTCTAAGTACTTGTTGAACACCTTGATTGTAACTTGGCAGTTGTCTGAGTCTATGAAAGACAGCCAAGCCGATCTATACCTGGAGACGTATCAAGTACTGGATATTGAAATCGGACGCCTTCGAGAAATTCAACGGTGGCAATCATCAGCAGCTTTTAAAGTAAGGTTCTTTGTGCAGTGCTCTTGGCATGAATCTTTGTTGATACACGATGAATGATGGTAATGAAATATTATTGGGGTGTTTTTACAACAAATTCGACGCAAATCAAGTCAGGCTCACATTAAACTGCATTCCAGTTCCCGAATATTTTCATTTCATACAGTTCAGTGGTTCGTCATAATACCGAACATGAGAGTTCTCTGAGGGATAAGTACGAAATGAATTGTATTTCTCATTCACTCGCAGGTTGCAAACATCACATTAGTTCCTCAATGACAAGTGAACTGTGTCCATGATGTTCATTGAGAAAGTATGAACCTTGTGTGTGTGTACCAATTTTACATCAATCAATAAATGACTGTAGAAAGTTGTTTGAAAATGATAATGGCTAACCGCTGTATTGACGTGTATCTCTGTGAAGCTTAAGATCTTTGGCTTTGGGCGAAGGATTGCTAGAAGTTCCTGTACACCCAGCTAATTTGTAGGCCTTTCCGTTAAAAGTGACAAAACCATGAGCATTGTAGGAACAATAGAGACGAGCTCCGGCATAGGTCTCAAACCATCATCTGATTGTTTATTATACTCAGGGCGGTGCTAATTTAATCCATGGCATTGCAGCTTGCAGTTGACATGCACAATTACACTCAGTCTATAAAGAAGCTGAATGGTCCAAGTGTTACGCATATGTGGTGCTCTCTCTCTCTCTCTCTCTCTCTCTCTCTCTCTCTCGCTCTCTCTCTCTCTGTTTTCGAAAGAGCTCGTTACTGCTTTTAGAGCACTTTTCACGAGGTGTTGTGCAAGGGTTGCCCACTCAGCTCTGCATGATCAAATGAGTTCGTTGAACCATTTTCCGTTATGTCACCTAAATTTTGAGAACAGTTATCTGAACTACTGGTTGGCAGGGCCATGCTGCGGTTGCTTGATATCCTCCTTCAGCTAGATCATTTGAAGAATGCGAAGGCTAGCATTCCTAATGACTTCTCTTGGTATAAGAGGTAAATTTGTGTAGGCAGGCAAGTCAGAAAATCTCTGCGTAGGAAATATTCTATTTAAGTTTGAAATATTCTGCTGAATAGAGGAATTTCGATGGACGTATTGTTTCCGTCCTTAAGAGTAAATGCCTACTTTGCTTCGTATTATTACAGGACCTTTACCCAAGTCAGTGTAAATTGGCCAGATACTGAACAAATGCGAGAAGAATTAGACGACCTTCAGGTTTGTCACTCTTATGATCTGTGACCTTTACCAAACACTTGTAATTCAAACTTTCTATTCTGCAATGTCAACGATTTGATGTGGTTGCGAATGTATTTTATACATGTTGACAAGATTAGGGCTGAAAGATTGATTCACCGAGGCTCATTTAACATTTGTGTCGCTGTTCAGATTTTTTTGAGCACAAGATGGACAATATTGTTGAACCTGCAGCAAGAGATTTTCCGGGTGAATGGGTAATGCTTTGGTATTCTGAAGATATTATACCTCATTGGTGTCTAGCTGTAAACATCTTGGTTAAAGCTCACTAGTCGTTGGACCTCGCAGCATGTTCAGGGGAGCTTAAATAAAAGTAAAGTTTCCTGCTTCACTGTAATTTGACATTCCTCCTTTCAGAGTGCGTCGTAAAGGATTAATACTATGTCTTTTACAGGGTGGAGGACATTATTCAAGTGCTCATTCTCTTTACCTTAGAGTGCCTAGAGTCGGATCGAGTTTTAGTTTATTCGGAGCGGCATACCCTTTTACGAGTACTTCCCGTTCTCGTTGTCCTTGCAACTTCTGGTGAAAAGGAAGGCGAGTCCATCTTTAAGAAGATTAAGATTTCCCGTCTCATGAATATTTTCAAGGTTAACCTCTTTCATATGCCATTTGTGTTTTAAACCCCCCACGGTGGGTTCTTTGGTTTTGAAATTCGTCATTTTATATTTTGCAACCTGTCGAAGTTATTGCTGATCATCAAGGTTATTGTATCTCTTCAACTTCTTGTATAATACACAGCAGCACTGCTCCGTTGCAGTACCCGTGTCCGTCAGTAATTCTTTTGATGTGGGGTGAAATCTTTTGGATCTTTGATTTAAGAATGCTTATCGGTGTATCGTAAGGATGTAAGCATGTTCATCACATGTAATGACACTATTGTTTGTACGATATTCTGTTCCTCCTCACTCATCTGTCATATTAGACGTAGTACAAAAAGTTACTAATGGTGCATATAACAATGTTATATACAGCGGGATCCTGTAATCCCAGCATTTCCGGACCTCCATTTGGCTCCTGCGAGCATGTTGAAGGAGTTGGCACCTTATTTTCACCGCCTCACTGCCCAAATGCGATTCATAGGGCTCCCGCTTCCCCATGAGCTTAGCGTTAAGGAGGCTTTGGAATATCCTACCTGCAGCAGTCCATGCATTGTCTTTTGTGGATGCTTCCTAGAAATTTGCTTTTCATGAATGCGTGTTGCTTTGTGTAAATGGATGGGTTCAGTTTTTAGTCTTCTCTGTGATGGCACCATCATTCCAGTTGTTCATTCACGACTTAATGATTGTTTTGGTAAATTTTTTCGTCTCTTGCTATTTTCGAAATTTAGAGTCTAGTTGTTTGTCATGGTCATAAAGATTGACTCGTCTTTGTTTGTCACTTTAATCTGTAGTGAAATGTTCTCTTTACTTTTGTTTGAGAAGTGAGAAAGATCGAATTGTATCATCCTTAACTATCAGCAAGTACCAGAAGGAGTACCTTATTGTGCATAATATCTCAACTATGCGAACTGATCATGATGATTTTTGCATAAGGTTTGCTTCTGCCGTCAACCAGGTACTAATTAATTCTCCCGAGAGACACGTGACTAGTATTGGTTAATGTTAAGTATCCCTGAACTTCTCTAATGTATTTTATACCAGATCAAGAATTTGTGTTCATTTATTTTTGGCTGTTTTGACACTTGACTGTTTGACATGCAGCTGGAGACACTGAACTTGGAAACGGGGGTTGATGTGGCACTCAAGAAACGCATCAAAGAGAATGTTTACCTAGTTGTTGTGGCAGGTTTTCAGCTGTTGAGTGAGTGGACAGGACGTGTGTGGCAGCAAAGTGCCTGGAAGTTTTCAAGGCCTGCCAAGGATTCTGAACGTTTTGATGCAGAGCGCTCTGTCGATGTTACTGATTATGAAAAGGTACTATTTATCTAGCCAGTAATTCGAGGGAGAGGACATACAAACTTCCACGTTTCATTGTAGTGATCGATTTCATAGCAGATACCGTGGTATCTAGAAACTTCACGTTGCATCTAATATGTTGAGTCCCCGCACCTGCTGAAGGTGGTCAGGTGCAATTACACGGCAGAGGAGAGAAAGGCACTTATTGAGGCCATTGGATACATCAAGGGAGTGGGCATCATGATGGAACGAGCAGACACCCTAGTAGCCAATACTGTATGGGAGTCTATACATACTCAGCTGCAGGATTTTGTTCAGTCTAAAATTCCCACCATGTTACGCACATCGTTAAGGAGGAAGAAGGAAATCGCACGGTAAGTTTACTCATCATATCTATCTGCGATTCCAGTGTGTGCTTCTGCGATGATCGTTAAATTTCTCGCCAGGTTCTAATCTTTGAAATGCCAAAACAACGATGGTTGTAAATCATGGTGGAACCAATTTACGGAAGAAAAATATTATTTGCAATTTTATATTCAAGACAGAAAACAATGATTAAGAGGTGTCTTTCTGACGGAATTAATTTGAAAAATCCGTAATGGTCATCGTGTGTGATTTGGGATGTAGCGAAATTAGTTGAATGATTGATGATTTCTTATGCTCAATCTACTCAACATTATTCTATGTACTGTTCATTCAGACTTTTATCTGATATGAGAACTATAGCAGCCGACTGGCAGGGGAAGTCACCACAAGTTGAAAAGGTGAAAAGCAGAAAGTTGAGCAGAGAGGATAATCTAGTTCCTCCTGTCTCATACCACCCTCGAGCTGCCTTTCCCACTGCAGCCCAGGTATTATTTTCTGTTCTGAAAAACCAGTGACACATGACATGAAAGAAAGTTTTTGTCAATGTCGAAACGCATGGCATCCTTCAGTTTTCTCATTGTTTGTACTTACTGAATTATTCTCATTTTTGTGTCTTTGTTGCTAAAATGACTATTTTAAAATAATGTATGACCATTAATAAATGTCTTACCTTTCTGGTTCGTACTTAATGGACTTAATGGTTTCTACGTCATGTGTTGTCTACAGCTTCACTGCCTCCAGTATCTGATACATGAGATTGTGACTGGAGGCTCTCCCAAAAAGGCCGGTGGATTTTTTACTGCAAGTGAAACAGAAGTTCCTTCTTCTGAATTGCGGCAACTTGAAAGTTTCTTCAACAGGCTTGCATTCTTCCCTCATGTCATCGACTATAGAGGTACAAATACGGAGTGCTTTATGTATGGCAATTACTTTAACAAGACTACTCTAGAAACTTCAAGGATAACGCTTCATACTACATTGGATATATTTTTCTTGGTAGAGAATTTATGCCAAGGGTATTGAGAAGTTGAATTGATGTACGTGGGTAAATTGTTTATTGGTTGTTCGAAGGATTATTGATTGATTGGGTGTATGGATGCAGCAACTCTTGCACACGTAACTGACTTAGGTTTCCTTTGGTTTCGTGAGTTTTATCTTGAAACCTCTCGTGTTATTCAGGTAAGGTCTAAGGTATCTACTGTGTAGCAACTGTCAATAAGTTCTGTCGCAATCCATTTTTTTTCCTAAGTTGCGTTTTTTAAATAAGTAGCTTGCACAGTAGGAATGCTTGCTCAATTTTGTTTTAGCTTATATATCATTCTGGAATGATATCTGAGGAAGTGTTCTTCATAGAATGCATTCATACTTGGATCGTGAATTTAGCTGTACTCTGAGACCAGAGCATATTGCAAATCCAACTAAAAGAAACGTTGTTATCTCCAATCGTTGTTCTAACACTGATTGTGGATGTTACATTTCTCAGTTTCCTGTTGAGTGCTCCTTACCATGGATGCTGGTGGAGCATATTATGGATTCAAGTGATATTGGATTGCTGGAAAGTATCCTTTTGCCTTTTGACATCTACAATGATGCAGCTGATCAGGCACTTCGTGTATTAAAACAACGTTTTCTGTATGATGAGATTGAAGCGGAGGTAAATGCTGTACCTACCTATGAATGTTGTTTCAAAATAATCTTCAGTGTTTCAAACTTCGTTTTATGTTTCATACATTTCGCCTCATTTGGAATTTTCGTATATTTTAAAAATATCATTAAGATTCAGCTTTCATTACAATCTTTGAGTGAGGTGGCTTCTAATTTTTCGAGAAGTCTTCCCCTCAGCCATTCAGTTTTGCACAAGTCTTGCTTTTCATGATTTCACAGAATGTGATGTGGTATGTGGTAGGTGGATTTATGCTTTGATCAATTAGTGTCTCAACTAAGTGACCAAATTTTTATTCACTATAAGAGTCGTGCAGCCAGGTACGGGATTTAACTACGTCAATCGCAGATGTAGTTTGAAGCGTATTAATACCAACTAGGACTGTCGTTGTTGATAATACATCAAACATGAATGTAGTTTTCCCTTCTCTTTTATATTTGCAACTTTTAGCACATGATGTAACACACCTACCTGGAGTTTTACAGTGCTCGTAGTGGTAAGAGGAAGTAACCTTTCTCGTTCGTTGGATTGCGATATCCTTTCCTGTTGCTGATTATCTTGTGGTGTCTGGACTGCAGCAAGATGCTTGATATGTCTTTCATGGCAGCTGTGAACGATCATGAAAAATATTACGTGCTTCCAAAACGTTATGATCACCTTTTTAGAATTAGGCGTGTCAAGGTATCCTTCTTCGTCTTTTCTTGATTCTTTCACTCTTAGAGTGAGAAGTGAACCAACTTCTTCGATTTCTACATTTTTTGACTGCAACAGATGTATTGTTTGACTTTCGTTGAGGAACAGTTTTTTTATTTTATTTTATTTTATTTTATTTTTTGTGTCAGATGCTAGGTCGGAACGTGGATCTGGCTCACTTGATACGGCAACGCTTGAACAAAGTCTTCCGCGAGAACTTAGACTTTCTTTTTGACCGATTTGAGTCGCAGGATCTTTGCTCAGTAGTTGTAAGTTTCCCGATACACACAACCTGTTCCGGAGCACAGTCACGACGCCGAGTCAGGAGAATCAAATAACTCTGTTATCTTAAGATGTGTATATCTCACCATTGTTTGGTACATTGCTAAGGAATTGGTTGTGGGGGTCATTCACAGTCTTTGTTTTATGAGCGCAATGCAATCAAACAACGGGGTTGGGTGAAGTGTTACTTATTACACTAATAATATCCTGTTTCCTGTATGATGTTCTATAACAGGACTTGCAAAGATTGGTGGAGGTCTTAAGACTTACTCATGAGCTTATTTCAGAGCATATTGCGATTGATCCATTCAACCTTATGATGGGTGAAATAAGCGAGACAATCTCACTTGTGTCATTCTCGGGACGATTGGCATCGCAGGTAAATTTAAATACATGAAGTTCTTATTACTCGACCTGTATCTGTTTCGATAGATGCGCATAGGCCTACACAAATTTCAATGTAAGACTAATTATCCATTGATTTGACTTCAGGTTCTGCTGGAACTTCAAAATGACTTCTTTCCTAATTTTATGTTATGCACAACCACACAACGGTTTGTAAGATCAAGCAAACCACCCAAGCGGCCCATTAAAAGACCGTCTTCTCCTTTCGCCGAGCCAAGCTTTCTCTTCGGCAACATAGTAAGCTTATCTTATGTCTTGCTTCATATTTTAGTGTTACAAGTGATTGTTTTTTGATAGGTCATATGTAGTGATGAACTGCAAACCTTCTGTGCTTGATGTCCCCAGCTGATGATGGTAGAGCAGATTGTTGGCGTTTCTTTATCCCTGCTTTTCTAGGTGCACACAAGGAATACTTTCATACTTACTTCCTCTATTTGCAGGACCTGAACGAGGCACATGGCGTAGTAGCAGAGCTTCACAGCAAGTTTTTTGGTCTTCCTCACATGTTTGCTGTAGTGAAGTTGCTAGGATCTCGTTCGCTTCCTTGGCTAGTACGGGCACTTCTTGACTACCTTTCTCAGAAGGTAAACTGCATGGGCCCTTCTTTGTCTCATAGCTTTGACATCATATGTAGTATTTTACAAGGCATCAAAATCAGGGTACCTTTTCATAAACATTGTGGTGTATTCAACTTTCTCCTTCTATTCAAATGTCATTCGTCTTAATTCAATTTATATATTTGTGCTCAGATACTGGTGATGGAGCCGTGGGTTGAAGATTTGAGGGACCTTATGCCTAAAGCTATTTCCTTGCCTCCCTATGATGCTGGAGTAGAAGGTATCGGATGAAGTTCTTTCTGCTCTTACCTCATGTTTAAGGACTTCTGATCTTAACAATCAAAGATCTGATCAGTTTCATTTTGGAAACTACTCCTCCAACTTAAGTACCAAGTTTGGTTGCTTGAAATTTCAGGGAGCTTGAACCATTTTACGGAGCAATTGCAGTGGGCTGTAAATTATGATGGAAGACCCGAAATGCTGCAGGGACTAAAAGAGATTGGGAGTCTTATTTTCTGGATGAGCCTTCTTGATACTGCTATGGTATGCTCTGTTGGTCTCTTTTTCATCAAGTGTTGTCAACATAATGGAGTTGTGTGGCTTGCAAATTTGTGCTTCAGTTATGATAAGTTTGTAGTCATTCTGCTTAGTTTTTTAGTTCTTTAAAATTTTATATTTATCGCTTTTTGTTTGTTTTGGTGTTGAAACCGTCCATCATTAACTGCAAACCAAGAAAAATCATTTTGAGGTTCCCATATTCTACAGTGATTTCAACGATGTGTGGTTATAACTCAGAAATTCGTGGAGTCTAATTTCGATTTTGCTCTAACTTCGCAGAGGGAGACAGAAACTGTACATTTTATGCAAGTGGTGCCGTGGTTAGGTGTTGTTCCAAACAAGGATGGCCAATTGCAGCAGCTGTTGTGTGATGATAACTACAGCCCTGTGGTTAGCTTGTTCAAAGAAGCTACTGATGAGGTTTTGTACAGCACCTCACGTGTTAATGGCCCAGCCTTTCAATCTATGGCCAAGCAGGCTGAGGTAGTAGGTACTATTCTACTCCCTGGATTAGCTCTTGCTCCTCATGAAGTAGATTGATTCAAGTTGATGACTCGTAGAAACCTGTTGAACGATTCAAGTAATGCAAGGAGTGATGCTGGACAAAGTTGATCTTTACGGGAGTGATTAGTTTAAAGATGTCAATTGGTTCAATATGAGACCTTGAAAGCTTTTTGCTGAATGTTCTAGGCATATTTGACTTATTCATGGTTCTGCTCTGTGGTGCTTCTTTGACGTATTGGCCAAGGTAATGAGTGCCACGATAATTACGCTAAGACTTGGCGATGTGGATGGTCATTGGGTGCAGATATATTGTACATGAACAATCTTCAAACGGGTAGCGTTTTGGATTACACACTCACGTACCTCCATGCAATTCTGTCTCGATCTCGAGTTAAGTGGGACCTTCCACCGAAATCGGGTCTTATTGAGATCACTCTGTCAAAGGAGTATCACCGGATATATAGTGGTCTTCAATATGTAAGCTTTATCCTTCATCTACCTATTATCTTAATGTGTGCTGTGGCTTGAAGACTTGAAACCCGAAAACAAAGTTCCTTCGGTTTAGATAGGTTATTACTCAGTATGTAGTTTGTTATACTCATTTTGTTTCTTATCATCGCAGACCATGCTGCAAGGTGTACCACCAAGCGTGCAATCACTCTTGCTTGTAAGTCTCCTCCCAAGATATTCTTAGATATCTGATGTTGGCAACTTGGATTACTATTTAAGTAGGCAGCAATGGCTTGAACCCGCTGGTAGATTCAAGCCATCACTGCTTCAACAACAGCGGGACATTTGTAATGCAGTGAGTTAGTGCTACGCGCTTCTGTTCGGTTAACATCTTAATAAATGCTATTGATGAATTTTTAGTCATTTAATTTGTACAGAAGCACGACACTCAAAGGATAATGCAAATAAGTGACACGATGAAGTACGAATGTGCAGGCTTATAGTCAGATTTCGCCAGAGGGAGATTCCTTTCAAGATCGATATGGAGATGCAGTTGCTTGGGGCGGTTGTACCATCTTGTACCTATTGGGCCAACAGTTACGGTTTGAACTGCTTGATTTCGCATACCATGTTCTCTCGGCTTCAGAGGCTGAATCATTACCATCTGCTCAAGAACTTCTAATAGAGAGATCCAAGTCTGGATCAGCTGCGTATTCCATGGTACACTCTACGTTCCTGTGTTAATCACTATTTCCTGTTCCTTAGGTTGTGAGGATTATGATTGGATGCTGCGGAGCATAAATATTTCTGTGTATCATATAGAAAATTGGATTTATTTATTTGGTGTGTTTAGACAGATTTTATTTGCAGTATACTGTGATTTTCAATTCTAATTTATTTATTTTCTCTTGTGCCTTAATAAGTGTGTATTTGGAAGGAGAAATATATTCAGAAAACCCACATGTAAAATACCTAGGGTAGTAAATTGTGAAGGTATGATTGCAGGAAGTGGTAGCATTTTTGGCTAATGCCAAGAAAGCAAGGAGATTAAACAATTACGTTTTTTCTCTACTGCGAGCCTGTTCACCACATGAGGATCGGCTTGCATCCATGGTTAAACAAAGCGGAGTGGTTGTTCATAGTTTTAAATACCCTGTTACACCGTCATTGCTGAATCACCTCCCATTTAAAGGTATGCTCGTGTGGCTTCACATTGCTGTCTAGTTTTCACTTTGACGCGACTATTTGCTTTTCACATTTAATTAAGTATTTGAATGATTCTGCTTATTGTTCTAGAGCTCAAATGACGAGAGTGGTACATTTCTGTCGGTTTTGTGCTACTGAAATACCTTGACGATTGCATCTGTGTGAAAAAACAGGTGATGAAGATGAAGAAGATGCGAATGTACATGGCCCTTCTTCGACTACAGGTTTCGGCGTTCCAACGCCTGACCAGACATCTTGTATAGAGGATCTCCTCAAAAACAGCCGAAACATTACTGAGTCACCTCTATAACCCATTCTAATTATAATAATTACTATTGTTATTTGGGGGGGGGGGGGTAGCGTTAAAACTTAGATCCACGGCTTTTGTAAAATTGATTAGTTTCTGAGAAAAAGTTTCCTCACTACTTTCGTTCTTGGTGTACAAGACAGTTGACACTTGAATGTTCATATACTAATTTGGAGATCTGAGGAGTTTAGTTTTATCCCCATTTAGTATTCATTTTAATGTGTAATGCTGTTCACAAATGCTTCTAGTGGTACCTGAATTGAGTGTGGATTGGGTTTTGGAATTATATTGCATGTAGACCTACAACAGTGATAGTTGGGAATTTTTTGTTCCCCAACCACTAACCTTCGCTTCTATTATGCTTTCTTTCATGTTAATTTGTGATTTGCAATTAGTAGATAATTGATGTGTTGCAAAGGATCTTACTAAGTTCATAATGCAAAACAAAGCATTAATTAATTAGAACTTATTAGTTGTTCATATAGTATAGTAGTATATAAATAGGATAGTATCTTTTGATTGGAATAGCATTAGGTGGGAGGGCAAGAATTCAAAAAGTCCACACTTAAGAACAAAATATATTATATACAATTGATGTTATATGTTGTAATTGCTACATCTACTTTAATTTTAATTATTTACAAATATAACATAAATATGGTAATAAAATGACTAGCATAACATTGTGGTCATTGTAAGGAATCATAAAGAATGACTATAATATTTATTTTTTGATAGCTTAGAGAAGGATGTGTAATTTATTCCTTTGAAAATCCTTTGTAAAAAAATAATTTAATTGCTTATAGAGAACTTTTGGAGGCTTGGTAGTTTAAAACATTAATTGCTATATTAAGAATAGTTTATAAGTTAGAATGCAAAAAATGTTATTAAATATTATGTTGTTTCAATAAGTTTTGTAGAATATAAACCTTCCAACAATACTTTCTAAAGAATGTTTCTTAACTTTGTAAATGAGATAAGAGTGTTTCTATAAATAAGTATTTAAAAATAGTTAAATTTTGATAAAAGAAAGTGCTCCAAAAATTAAAAGACAACACAATTATTAAATTCTTACAACATCTTAAGTAATACTTGCATAATGTAAGAATAAATTCTAAATTTTATTTTGCATGCTTCAAGATCATTATAAATCCAAGCTTGTTTTTCAACTTGTTAAATAAAATTGAAATTACTTTGATTACTTTTGAGTCATTACAAGATTGCTACCAATAGATTCTATAAAAAATCCCTAAAATAGGTGAATAGATAAGTACTAGTCTATAAAATTTTATTAGCAAGGGTTAAGTCTATCAACATATGGTATGCCTACTACTCTTCTATTATCTTTGGAAGCAACAAGTAAGCAATTAAGAGAGAAACTCTTCTTTTCTATAAAACGTTGTACATTCTATGGATTAAACAAGTGCCATAAAGGTTAGTATAGGTGGTTAAAATAAGAATTTGTATCCTTGGCATTTCAAATTTAAATTTCCATTGAGATGTCAATAAAACATACAAATTAGTAATATTTATTTTAAAAAATTAGTTATTATTAGATATTCTCACCAAGGATGAAAGAAAATCACCTCTAGTCTCTTTGTAATGGTGAAAAAAGTTCACACTTGGTTCCATCATTTAAACTAGGCTCTCATATTTAGTAGAAATACTTAAGAGATTTGGTCTTTTTTAAAATATTTAATTGGATAAAAAAGAAATGTTAATTAATTCAAAATATTTATCTTCAAAAATACTTGGTTGGCAAACTAATTCTTAGTGGCCATGATCACCTTATTTAGAATAATTTTTAGATAAAGAAGACAATAAGGCCATTAATCTTAACCATTATTTTTATATTGCAATTGACAAAAGAAGAGGCTTTGAATCCTTGTTTTAAGTTGACAATTTTATTACCAAAAGAAAGAAAAAAGAAAAAACTATAAAATCAAGAATCAAAGTTTGTTGGTTGATAAATGTCTAGTTAGTATTTAGAATTAGAGCCATTGTATTGTAAAGATGGTCAATTATTTGCTATTCTTCAAGGATACTTTCACAATGTCTATTTTTTTTTCATATACTGAAAATAATAATTATTAAATATTTAAAAACGATTTAATTATTAATTACAATATATATAATAATATTCTACAACTATATGTTTCATTATTTTAGATTTATCTAAAAGAATATAATATATTTTCCTTTAAACTTTAATGATTCTATTATCTATTTAAAAAATTAAAATATAATCTTGGAAAAAAAATATTGATAAAAAATTGTAATGATTATATCATAAAAGTTTAAGAAATATTTGGTCTTTGATTTTAATAAAATTTAAAATTGCTCATAACAAAATATAAATATAATACAATATAAAAAAAATAGAATCATAATATACATGTATATATATATATATATATATATATATATATATATATATATAGTTTAAATCTTAAATCATATATAAATCATATATAGTTTTTCATATCATGTATAAATCATATAATTTTTTCATTTAATATGATTAAAGTATTATCTTCTAAGCTATTTTTTATTTTCTTTCATTTTTTTCTTCTTTTATTATCAAGTTTTATGGAATTTTTTAATAGAATTTAATCATCTATAATCAAATATTATATTTTACTAGACGTTATATCAAAGAATCCTATTATTGAATCTATCTAGAACATAATCCAAATGAAGAAAATCAATTTAATTGAAATTTTAATTGATCACATTTCTAATTTTTCTAATCGTGGTTTGTGTTAATAAATTGATTATTTTGTAAAACAATCTTTATAGTCTCATTTTGCATTAATATTATATCATTTTTATTTTGATAATTTCTTATTTTTAAAATACCATATTTTTAGCCTATTGTATATTTAATTATATATAATGCCAAAATTTGAACATAATTATAATTACCCTGTGTATAATACTTAGACCTATGTTAATTGTAGGTTATTAATATTAAAATAGTTAATACCATGATAAAAACCTTAATAATCTTTGGCAAAACTAAGTTGTAATTATTGATACAATTTTATAGTAATATGAATACTAACATATATTTTTTAAAAAACTTATGGCAACAAAATAAATATTTTTATTACGATTTATATTATTTTAAAGATTAAATAAATTTAAAAAAATTAGCACTCAAGACCTCTCAAAAGTTTGGAAAGTAAGTCAATCATTAGCACACATAAAAATTATTTCAATCTAATTGACTATATGCTTAAGATCATAGAAACCCTCATTGACCTTTAAAATCCAATTTCCAAGTTTCTAGTTCACTTGGATTTGAATAACTTTGGATCTTATTCTTTAATTAAGTTTAATTTTGCTATCCAAATTTGACACAACTATGTTCACAAACCTAAAAAAATTCACTAGTAGACCTGCTATAAAACTTACTAAACTCACCAAAATATAATCCTTTTTTTATTCTACAAAAAACAGAGTCATCCAAAGCAAACCTAACTTTGGAAAGCTTTTACAAAGTCGTTATTTATTTAGGTAGCTCAAAATCAATGCTTAAAAAAATCCTATTAAGTTTGCTTTCTTACATTGTTTTCTATATATATATATATATATTAGCCATAGGCTAACAATTTTATGCATTAAGATCCAATTTCGATCTTGGTTTACAACTAATCATCTTTGAGTATCAATCTAAGGTTTTTTTAAGGTGATTTTTGTTGAAAGCTAACTTTTACTTTTATCCAAAGATACCTATGGTGTTTATTATTGCTAATTTACTTTGTTTTTTTCTTGTTTATGGTCCTACAAAGTAAATAAAAGCCATTTTTATAAAAAGACAACATTAGTACTAAATTGTTTTTACTAACTTCCTAATTTTTATCTATATTTCTAAAATAATTTGCTACTATATTTTTAATTAATCTCTTTTATTATATAATCATTTTTTTTCTTTTACCCAATAGCCATTGTATGCCATATATCTATGTATACATTCAATAAAAATCTTATTTATACTAAAAAAGAGATAATATATTTACAATAAAAGATTTGTATGTAATGCTTATGACATTTTATTTTATTATATTATTTAATTAAATTCAAAAAATAATTATATTAGATCTATATGATTCTTTAATTTACTTTTGAAAATTCTTTTAATTTAATTTAAAGAATCTTTTACTATAATTTTATCCCAAAACTTGTTTGTATATTTTTAATCTTCATTTTATAATGTGTATATAGGGATGCATAGCTCTAGTGGTGTCCACGTGGTGGTTCAGTAAATTTTATAGTCTATTATTTTATTTGTATGAAAAAATTATCTGTAATGAGACTCTAATACTAGCCAAACCATCTTATAATGTCTTACACTTTCATAGTAATCTTTAAAAATAAGATCAAAAATTGTTTCTTTCACAAAACTCTTTAGCGTTATTTTTTCGGCTCTCTTCTCTATTAGAGTAAAAATAATTTAGATTATTTTTCTTTTGAAAAATATTTCATTTTTGGTTTATAGTCTTATAAAAAATTTCAAAAAGATTTTTTTTTATTTGTAAATTCAAATATAATGTTATAATTTTTCTTTTATTTTGTAAAGATTATTAATTTATTTTCTCCAATGCATTAAGAATCTTAAAAAGTTACAATTTTTTTTTATTTTAATCACTTGCTTTTTTGATAACTCCTAACTCTCTACCAATACTTGATACTCATACTTCTCTATTTTTATGAGATGAAAAATACTTAAAATAAGGATTATTTTATGAATATAAAAAATATTTAAGAAAATGGAATTTAAGTTTTATTTTTTTTATGTTAATCATTTGATAAAATGTACAATTAGTATTCACACAATTACAATATCGTAGTGCACACAAGAAATTAAACACCAAAAATGTAAAAAAAGTAAAAAATTAAAAATATATATGAATAATTACTTAATTAAAAGATCCACAAGAAACGAACCCTAATCACTGATACCACACACTACACACGCGTTATTGTTCCAGACTGGTCATTTCCGTTGCTGTCGACGAGAGAATTGGAAGCTGACGAACGACGACCAGCAACGTCGTCGAGCTTCGTCGCCAGCTTCGTCGAGACTGGCGAGGGGAACAGGTCCGTTTCCTTTTCTATTCTTGCAGTCTGCATGCTGCTGCTGCAGCATTGGGTGGTGGTGATCGGGTTGTAGCGGACCCCCCCTCCATCTTCCAGCCTCCATGACGCGGTGTAGCACGTCTCAGGCTTCCATTTCGGGGGTGCACTTGGAGCCCCTGGAATACTCCGACTGTGGATGCCGAAAACTCAGAGATCTCATGTCTCAACGCTCATTTTGTCCCCGCCAGGTCTGACCAGTGCGGCGAGACCCGACATCCGCGACTGAAACTGAGATATGCAAGCAATCGAATGTTCCTGTGGTAGGATTGGAGCCAGGGTGAAGGATTGTGAACGTCGTTAGAATAGGAGCGGAGGTAGCGGCGTGTTCTGAGTGATTTGGAAAAATCGAGGCACTTCTTCTGATTCCGTCTCTTTTTCACAGTGTGGTCGCATGGAAGGATTGATTGATTGAAGAGATGAAGGAGGATTTGTCGTTTTGGCTGGCTGGATTCTCTTTCCCATGCACGTACTGTCAGCGGTTTTTCTTTCCACGCAATCTACGTCGTGGCCTCGCATGAGCAGTCGTTTCAATTCCTCATCATATGGACACTACCCAGCCCTTTCCGCCCCTGTGATTTCCCTTCACTCTGATCTAGTTAATCCGTCTTCAATTATTAGCATTGTACTCTTCTTCTCTGTGGTTGAGCTCAACAGGCACTCGTTGCTCCAATCAATGCACATGGCAGAAATTCTCTTACAATGCGCTTAATTATATGGCTTGCTGCGGCTCGACTTGGTCCCCGAACCCTAAATGTCTCCCTGTAGGCATTCAGTTGTGTGAGTGCCCTGACTCTCTTCGAAGTAGTCGAATTGCTATGTGCGAGTGGTACGATGCTTTTTGTAGTATCCTTCTCACAAGTCTCTTTGCGTAGCTCTTGTAGGTGGACGGTTAGATGTGTACAAGGAAAATGAGAACTTCCGTTCACTCTTAATTAGTAATGATCTTCACCATGTAGTAATTTTTATCTTCTTATTGCTCATCTGCATATTTTAACACTTCAAGATGCTTATGTCTCAATTTAATAATACGTCTTCTATGTTTTTGAAGATAGTGCTGTCGTAACTATCCAAGTTCAGAAAACTTTCCATTCCACCACACGAATCATCTTGACTTGTTGCATGTTATTATGTATTTAGGAACATAATAGCTGGCTGCTTCTTAATCAGTAGATGCAGAATCAAGATCCTTCTAAACTGATACTGTGAGGCTGTTTCGCTGTGTGAAAGCGCTTAAACCTTAAACCCTGTAATCAAGTGTGTGAAGAGAGCAATCGTCTGAGATCTATCTGATCTATGCATTTGGTTGAAAATGCAGAAGCAGATTCTGGTGGTGGAAATAGGAATGAATTAGTGGTCTGCATTTCAGTCACCTCTATGGATGCTTCCATCTTCTGTTATGGCAGGTTCGCAGCTTCTCTTCTTTCCACCTATGTTATTGTGAGCTTTACTAACGTACATGACTTCCTTTTTCGTGTTGTTGGTTTGTCCTAGTAGGTCTATCCTAGCTCAAACAATATCAACGGAACTCCTTAATTGTTCAATTCATGCAGGTTTAAGCAGTGCTCTTGTATCTGCATTTTCTTCGCCAGAAAAAAATACTATTCACGTTGTGCATGCATCAGCTACTTCAACTGCTGAATTATGCCCAAATCACATTATGTTTGAAGCAGAGCCGACATGGCTGCACTCAAGCCGCGCAGTTCTCTACGCTTTTTGCATTATTTACTGCTTCGTAGGGTTGGCTACGATCACCAACCTCTACATGGAGGCAAGGAGCTCTATGCACCTACATTCGTCGATTTCTCATACTATTCAATGCAGTCGTAATAACTGGTGGCATTTTGGATTGATTCTTGCTCTAAATTTGCCACTCTTAGGTGAAGTTTGTTTATCCTATCTATTATTGCTTTATGTCTATGCAGGCGATGGAGAAAATCGTTCACCAAACTCGTAAAGTTGTTCGTCATAATTACGAAATAGGCAGCGATGAAATAGTTCATGAAAGGATATGGAATCTAGTAATTGCAGATATTACTCTCTTGGCACTGGGGACTAGCGCTCCTCAGATTTCGCTGGCTATAATTGATGCTTTCCAGCAGCTTGGTCAGAAGACTGAAGCGGGTATCTGTCTTGTAACCGTAACCTCGTTACTTTGCAGCTTGTAAAGTACCGGGCAATTTATATTGTTTTCCTGCTTTGAAGTGTACTTAAATAAGTTGTTTCAATGAATCAGTAGCTTCTTATGATGGGGTTTGGATGTAATTTCTGTGATGATCATTGGCTGAGACTTGAGACATTGATTGCAGGCTTGGGTCCAGGAACAATTATTGGCTCTGCAGCATTCAATCTCTACATTATTCTTGCCGTCTGCGTTCTTGTTCCTAAAGCTGGCTCCACCAAACACATCCGGAGTATTGGAGTATGGATTGTTGAATTGACTTGGTCGATGTGGGCTTATATCTGGCTTGCAATTATCCTGCAGGTGAGCTTGAGATGGCAGGGACAAGTCTAGTACGTTTCAAGCTGGGGTCTCAAGTTTTGATTATACTTAAGCATGGATTTGAGTAGTCGTAAGAATTAATTTGAGAACCACAAATTAGTGAAATTCAGATTCATAATTTATGTTAGACAAACATGGACTTTGCTGTGCAGTGCTTCACATGTTTTTTTCTCTTTCATTTATTTGTTCATGCTATGTGCGCAGGTGTCTTCTCCCGACGTGGTAGAGCCGTGGGAAGCTGTATGCACAGTTTTGCAGTTTCCCATTCTTATGATGCATGCCTACGTCCAAGACGTAGGCTTGGAGACCTTGTGCTGTCCAAGCATGATTGTTTCATGGAAGCCCATTAGGAAGTATTTTTCACTGGCAATTTACGACGGCGAAATCCATGATCAGTCAGCTTCTTTCTCCAATCTTGAGTAAACTTCAGTCTACTTTGTAATCTTATGTATTTGCGAGCTTTCAAGCATTAGATTCTGTTTATTTGCCTCCACCCATCGATTGTATACTCATGATCCGGTCTCATTTTGGTCAGTAAAACAAAAATGCAGCATTAATATTAATCTAATAATTTACACTAATAATTTAAACATATACTTGGACTTGTATGTGCGTGTTCAGAGTCTTCTCGGAGCAAAGTACATCTGACTTGGAGCGCGTAGATCTGCAATATCTACCTATGAAAGAAATTAGAAATGGGGTCACATTTGATGATCATAGGATTTCGCCATTTGAACGGCAGCAGGTCATAGGTGCAAACGACATAAGTGAACAACTGACTTGTGGTAAGCTTTGTGCATTTTACGCAACTGTGATCTTGTATCTTGTGATTCCCAATTTTACTATAGGCCTAGCATAACTGAACGATGATCTGTCGAATCTAATTATGGGTAGTTACTCTAAAGCATTTTCATGATGATGTTTAGGCAGCAAGAATTCAGAGAGCAATCAAGAATTGGTTAAGTTGCGATCGACGAATGAAATTGACGAACATACCTCTGGACGGACCAATGCTTGTTCCCTCTGGAAGATGCAGTTTCTTGACGCCATTTTTGTAAGTCTTACCAGATCCTCTTACGAATATTCGACTCTCAGAAACCTGGCAGTAAAGAATATCGCCATAGTTTTCATCTTTACAAACGTATATATATTTTTCAATATTTACTTGGAACCTTTCGCTTAGCTGAAGTTTTCTTAATGAGAGAATTGCATAATGACACTCCAGATCGAGAAGCATGTAGATGAGAGTGGGAAGGATCATTCCCCGATAGCTGTGGATTGTGTTGGTCATCTAATCATATTACCGTGGAGGTTTCTCTTTGCTTTTCTTCCACCACCGATGCTGTTAAATGGATGGCCGGCTTTCATGTGTGCTCTGGCCTTCATTACAGTCATTTCCTGTTTCCTGATCAAACTGGCCAATTCATTTGGTTGCGTCACAGGTAAATATTTTAAAAAAGGAGCTCTTTCCTTAATCTTCCTCTCTACTTGTTCTCTAGATGAAATTTTATCTGTAGGATATGCTGAAGTTTTTAACAACAATGAATAATTAGAGAACCAAAAGTAGTTCTATTTAATTGTGTGAAGTAAGCCCTAATGAAAATGCTCATGTCATGGAAACAGGGGTTTCGGATTACGTTTTGGCCTTGACGATCCTGGCAGTCGGTACTTCTTGGCCTGATCTAATTGCAAGTAAAATTGCTGCCAAGCATCTTCCTACAGCAGATTCAGCCATAGCCAACATTAATGCAAGGTCTCGAGCATTTTCATTTCCCTCTTATGTTCTCAAATCTATTGACTCTTTCTTATGCTTCAGGACTTGACCTCACGTCCACGTGAATGGTTTGGCAGCTTTTGTATGCAGATTCTTTACTGTCATAGTGTCTCTAAATGATTTCTTGAGGTCTTATCAGACGCTAATGACGATTGCTTTACAGCAACTGTATCAACGTTTACGTCGGCACTGGGATTCCATGGCTGCTGCAATCCTTTTACAACAAGCTCCAGTTGGACGAAGAGTTCAGAGTTCCCTCTGTCGGCATTGGGTTTTCGCTCATGCTCTTCTTGGTCACCTTTGTGCTCTGCCAAATTGTCGTCGTTGGACGGAGATTCATTTTCGAAGGAGAGCTGGGAGGACCGCGCAAGTGGGCGTGGGCTTCCTCGTTTTACTTCATATTTCTGTGGCTCATTTTTGTTATCTTTTCATGCCTCAGAAATTACAATTTGTTGTAGAAAATACATTATTTCTACCTCCATCTATTTGATCGAACACAGTCAATACCAGAATTGATTGACCAATCAATATGCTTTTCTTTCCCAAAATATTATACAGTAAAAACTCATAGTCCTCTCATCTTATGTCTGGTGTATTTGTATCGTTCTTGGAAGCTACCATTCCAGCTGCAGTCAATTTTTCGTTATGTATGCACTACTCGGGACCTATTTAAAATTTGAAGTCCATTTACCAGCATCGATTAAACAGTTCTAATTACGGTCTATGCTATCGACGTGCTTAGAAAAGTTTTTGACTGGGATTGCAACTTCGAATTTTTGTTGCTTTGTCGTGATCAAAACACGTAGAAGTTTTAATAGTACGACGCGGATGGTGATCAATCTGTTTTGCATAAGTTGAAGTTTGTTTCAATGTCCACCTATTTTGTGATGTTATGCTGTTCATTTCTCCTTAACGTTCTGTTAGTTGATTACAGAGGGTTTCGCAGTTTTTGTGTGTTGGTTTCTTTACCCTAGTGATGATACTTAGTGGTGGCGGTGGCGGAAGGAAAGGATGTTTGTGAACCAATTTGCAGAGGGGTATACGGTGCAAGGTGCTTAAGCTGATCGTTGGTCGAGAATTCGTTTCGAGGCGGACGAGTGCGCGAAAAAGTGGTGCTACACCATGCATTACGGAGAATTCTGTGGAAGCGAAATCTGCAAGATCCAACAATCTGCCACGCCGATTCATCCTTCCCTGGCAAGCTCCAGTAGAATTTCTACTCCCTCTTTGCTCTCCACCTAGACTGGCGCCCCAGAACATCGAGGATTACTGGTGTTTCACAGGGAGGAATGTGATGTTTCCGCTTCTGAAAGATATGCAGGAGCGAGCATCTGGCTGATGTGGAACCTTTTATCAATATACAGAGAATTCCTGTAAAACACTACCTGATTGCACGAAGAGGTTTGAGTTTGTTGGCTTTGTGATGGCAGCCAAGGTGAACCTTCGTAGTCAACCTTTGGAGCGATCTGTATTGACATGGCTCTTTGTACACATGAAAGTCGGTGGAGACGAAGTGAGGGCATGCTGGGATTGAGATACTTTACAAGATCGGCAGCAAGTTTGGATATTTTTTCAGGGAATTGACACAGGAGAGAACTGCAAGTGGATCCCAACTGGTCAGTATCCGGTTTGTGAATACAGAACTATTGATCCGATTGCCAAAGCTAATCTCTTCACCAGGGGATATGTTTTTGATTGAAGTTGAGGATGTGGATATCAGTAGCCATGTTTCGATCTCTCACTCGGAGACCGACAAACATACTTGCATTGGATTTGAGTAGGTCTTTTTAAAACTCTTTTAGCAAATATGCATTACACCTATAGACCTAGTTGAAATAATTGTCAATTACACCCATAGACCTAGTTGAAATAGTTGTCAAGCACATTGCATTGCAAAGCATGTATTCTATTGAGCAAGTCCAAAATGAATGTTATTAAGAGCCACTTGTTGACAAAGGCATACAACCAATCAATTCAATTAAAGACCTTTTCAAAAAACTTGGTTTTAACTTCCTTTTTAGATTGGCTCAAAGATATTTTACAAACCTTGGCTATGGATTGTTTACCATGATAGTTATTATACTTCTAGATAACATGTTTGTGGCACTATTTATGCCAATGATTATTATTACTATAGCAAGTTTTTGGCCCATTTTGTTTTAACTAGTTATGAGTTAATTGATATGGATGAGTGTATTGTCCACAATAGAAAAAATAACTTGATGAAGCTTTCATCTGTCAGATAATCAAATAAGTCAAATTAAGTCGCAATCTTGTGTAGAGCATAACTAAAGCTATAATTAAACATCTTCTTCTAAGTATTGTTGAAGCTTGGATACACTTTCAATCCCAACTAGCTTGTAAAGATGGTCTATGTTTTGCCAAAGAATGACAAAATAGTAGAGCTTTAGTTGGTAGTAGTACTACTGCTATCATTCTATTGCAGTAATTTATCAAAAGAGGAAAATTCTTATGCAAGATTCTTATGCAAGATTGCAATGTACATACTTGCATTCAAAATTGCAATGTACATCATATTAATTGATGTAGTCAAGATGCTACAATAGTAGTGCTTGCACTTGAGGTGTTTTGACTTGAATTGATTATTTAGGTACTTATTACCAAAGCACTCTCAATAAGCAATCTTTTTGCACCTTGTCTCCTTTAAGTTATTTGGTACCATTATTTAGGAGTCAGATGATCATTGCAACAAATATGAGACTTCATATGATAAGAAAAAATTGCAATCAACTTAGAGCTTTAAGTTGAACTTGCAAAAATATGTAAAATTTGTAAAAAGAAATTAAAAAAAATGATATATAAGAGAATTTGGGCCACTTTTGCTAAACTCAAGGAATAATATTGGTAGAAAAATATGTATCAAGATATGTATTTATTTGTAGAGTTGTATTCAACTTATCAAATATATTCTAATATATAATATTAAGATTATTTGTATCTAGCATATCTATTGGCTACTTATTTTAAACAAGTTGTTGACTTGGTTGTTATTCTAATGGGATTATAAAAAAATTAGTTGTTTGGCCTGATTTATGATAATGCACCAAATTGAGTAAAAGGCAAAGAATTGCAAATAAAGTCTATTGAAGGAATTTATAGGTTTTTGCTTGAAGATGTTATTTGTTGCTATAAATGTGTAAAATAGGTTATTGTAGATCATAGAGAATTTGGTGGGCAAGAAACTTATGAATTCATTAAAAGAAATGGAGTTAAGTATTTATTGACTACTACTTACAATCCAAATAAGAATACAAGAAAAGTTTGTGGCTATCTACTAATTATGAAGGCATTTGTAAAGACTTATAATGGAAGGATAATAAAATTATTTAATAATAGGATATATCCCAATTGAGCTTTAGTCATATCTAAAACTTATCATGCAAATGAAAAAAAAAAATGTGCGAACTCAAAGTGTGCTTCTATGAGAAGATGGATTATTAAGAAAACAATTTTTGGCCATTAGGATTTAACAATTTAAGTAAAGACCACAAGATGTACAAATAGCATTAGAAAGATTGAAAAAGACAAGATTCGGAAAGAAGGCTTAATTTGATAAACAACATCAATCAAGACCTATGACACTTAAGAAAGTAATTGGATTTTTGTTTGACAATAATTTGGATAACCAACATAATATTTTGAGAAAGTTTTCTAAATGTTGGTTTGGATTATATATGGCACCAACAATCCTTGATAATACAACCTATTTAGTAAAGAAGTTAGATAGAACAAGATTGAAAGTAACAATTGTTGAGAAGTGGGTGAAAATATTGAAACAAGAGTGAGAATTAAATTTATGTCAATTGAATTAATAGGTTGTAATCAAGCACATTATTATAACCATTGATGTACACTATTGGTTACTTTTGTTTGATTGAAGTAACACACAGATAATTTCCGCCTGTTACAGTTATAATTATAAATTATATCAAGTAGAAGTGTATTTCAATTCAGATATTCCAATGTCTTTAGAGTGATGAAAAACCTTGATATGCTAGAAGTATAGAATAGTTGATAGTTTTTAATTGAAATTGTTGTTTGCTTTAAGAAATAGAGATCATTTTACCGTTCTTATTTTCATTAGTACACTAATGCAACCATTTCAATATAGAATTATGAAAATGACTTCTATGTAATTTCTCGATAACTGTACAGCGCATGAGTTACAGTGGCTTACGTCCATCAATGATTCCCTAACATCTAAGATTTTACTCGTCAAAAGTGTTCAGAGCAGTAGTATTTAGTGAAAGTAGTAAATATAGAAGTTAACTGCGGTTGAAAAATGTTGGACATATGTTTCTAAGGTAAACGGCAGAATGTAATTGAATTTCAAGAGGAATAACAGAGTTGACATACAATCAACGAAATGCTCGTTAATGCTACAAAAACCTCTCGGCATGTGTATGGCTGCTTCAATGCTTGAAGCGTTACAAATCTTCAAAAGCCATATTATACCATAATTCTCAAGTGGTAACTCTACCTACACCCACTTCACCCTGTCTATGTCTCACATCAATCATATAGGCATTCTCAAGTAGGTGCGTTTCACCAAAGGGTCTATCCGTCCTGGGTGTGAGGCTCAAACACTGAGATCGTATAAACTCTATTTCTGTACCCACAAAAAGACCCTTAGATCACGAGACAGTGCTCCAGGGAAGTTTCAGTTCTTTCGAGTAAATAGAAAATGTAAACGCTGATCGCACTAGATTAAGCTTTGTGCTTCGCAGCAACGTGTTGACTCATAGCAGACTCCGTGGTGAACGTCCTGCACAGTAGCGGTTTCATGGTAAGGCGTCATCAGTCCATCATTACGTCAACTACCACTAAAAGACGACACAACTCGGCTCAGTGGATGCTCAGACAGTACGAATGTAGTCATCAAGCCTACTGGCTCAGACTAGAATTTTACATCACGGCATCCTTCCGCGTACTACATATGGACAACGCAACCACGAGTTACAACTCCTGCTCACTCCACAACTCCTGATCACTCATTATCTCATTCTGATTAAGCAATGATATGTTAACGTTTGTGGTACTAACCATCCCGGTGACAATAACATTAGTGCGCTTGACTGGGTGCTCAGACATATCATGGATACAATTTCCTCCCGCCTTAAGGCTCAGATTAACGAGATATTTTGTTCATCACAGCACCCATTCGTGAGAAATCAAAAAGGACTTCAGTTCCTCCACATAAGAATGCAAGCACAAGTCCTCGTTAGTCCTACCTGTCACAGCCCGTGCACTTGTACTGTCCAAACTTCTTCTCGGATACTGGTGTTGTCGGAGGGGCAGTGGGAGTGCCCTTCGGAGCCTGCCATCAAAACACAGCTTCAAGTTTAAGATCATAGCGAAGACATCTATCACCCAAGCTAGCCTACTGACGATATATGCTCAGGTATTATGAATGGTAAAAGTCTCTTCAGGCCTTGACAACTCAGATTAACGAGATAGTTTGCTCCCCATCGCATCATTTAACGACTCGACTCCACGTATCAAAACTTCTCAAACCTCTACTTCAGTAACTTGGAGACCCAACCCCCAATCAAACCCTCACCTTAGCTTTCGCTCCCTTATCTGTTGGAGTTTTAGGAGCATCTTTGGAGGGCGTCACCTGCTTCTCTCCCTTCGTACCCTTAGCGGCTGCTGCTGCATGTTCCAACCATCAATAGTGTATCAATATTTACAGAACAATGTATACCGAGAAGCGAAACCATCGAGACACCCAAGGTTTCAAATAAAGCCATACTGAATAATACGAACCGCACATAATAATGGGTTCAAATCCACTTTAATTGACAAGCTTCGCTAAGAAATCCTGAGAACTAACCCGAAAAATCGTAATGCGACAGGCGTGTACATTCGCTTTCAGCTTCTTTAATTACACCTGTAACTAAGCTGTTACCTTCAAAATGAACTTTTGACACCTACTATTCCAGACTCTAGGGCACACCTACTGAGAGCATTGTTGTTAAGACTTACCTTGCAGGGGTGAAGAATCTGTCTTCGACTTCTTGTCGGCAACCTTCAGAGGTTCAGCAGCTGGTCTTTTCTTCCCAGCCTACATCAATTAAGACCACCATTAATGTAATGAGGGGTTACAATACAGCAGTCCATGGGAAGACAAGTTCACACCCACTCCACCGACTCACCTTGGGTGTCTCAATTTTCAACTCTTCTTCCTCTGATTCATCGTCCTCGTCATCCTCGTCATCATCATCATCATCATCATCCTCATCCATGTCCTGGAGTCATAGCAGTCAAACCTAATCAAGAGACAGGTGGAAATCTAAAACAAGTACAAAAGTGCGCATCCCTCACACGGGACCGGCAGGAACAACAAATCCAGAAACCGGACAAGAACGAAATGTAACGAGGTTGACTTCCTACAAATTGCACTAGCAGCGCGTTCGAGGGATCAGAAAGCTTTCAAACAACCTCAATCCATGCCACACACTATTACTAATCCAACATCTCTGAGCACACCTCATCAGAATCGTCATCACCGGCATCAAACTCGTCATCGGATTCGGAAGCTAGGTCGCTCACGAACGGATGTCCCATACCGTCATCCTTTCGAACCATCCAAGCCATCACCCAAACATCCTCGTAAGCGTTAATCACATATGACCTAGTTGACTTGCTGTCCAAGGCAAAACCCAAAATATCGGTGTATCCAAAAAAAAATCAATTGAAAAGGTAACACCTTTGACCGATAGTACAACTAACCTCATCAGAATCATCTGAGTCTTCAGAATCATCCTCCTCGTCAGAAGAGTCATCCTGAATTACTTGTTTCTTCACAACTTTCTTCTCAATGCCCTTGGCAATTGCGTTTGCTACAGCGGCCGCCGCTTTGTCAGTCACCTTACTGAGCATCTCGGCTGCAGCCCCGTTCGCCTTAATAGGAACTGCTACTGGCACACCGGCATCTTCCTCATCTTCATCTTCTTCGTCTTCTTCTTCATCCTCATCTGACATTGAAAAATTTGCTGCTCAATATCGAAGGCCAGGGAAGATTCCGCATGAAGTAGACAAACCATGTAAATCTGATAGTGAAGTAGAATGACAAAAGAAACAGTGTAGAAGCGGAACGTGCCCCAAGAGCTGGAGATTTTAACCTTCTGAATCGTATTCTCTAGGACCCTCCGTTCGGTACCCGCATAGGAAAATGCTTGAAGAGCTACTGCTGTGCGATACACTGAAGTCACTGTCAAACACAAGATCTAGAGGCATCTGATCGCACCTCCCCTCTGCGAGAGTTCCAAGCACAATATCGCTGCCATCAACATGCACCTTCAACACAACCCTTTCACTTCCTTTCCCTCCCTTCGCCTTGCTTTCCCCGAGAGCGGCCTGTGGTCATAGCAATAAGTAGAAAAGTGAGCAGAAGGTGGATTCATCTGGACATCTGAAGCGGAGGTTCTTCTCTTACGTCTAAGACCATAATGGTATAAAATGGCATCTATCAGTTTAAACGGTCCAGACTACAAGGCGATTGCTAAACGGCCTCTAGACACAGAATTCCATCAGATAAAAATTACAGTAAATGAATCACCTGGGATACGTGCAAGTACATTCCTTCACCAGGAGAACATTGAGTTGGTTTCCCTGCCCGAACTTCAACCCCTGCACCCACACAGAATCGCTGAGATAAGTCGATGCGAAAGCCATCGTGACAACCTGCCGGTAGGACATCCAATTTCTACAACCAGAATTTAAGACAATACAAACATAACTCCTACAAAGAGGGCTCCTTGACCTCTATACAAAATGAAAAGTGCATTCACTATTTGTTTACTACTGAAAAAAACGTGTAGTTAAGGGCAGAGAAAAAGTCAGAAAAGACAGTATAGTTTGCGTTGAGCAGTAAGTAGGGTTTATCTGAGATCGCTAGAAGAAAAAAGAAAAAAGAATCGTAGTGCAGAGTTTAGCACAGCATTGACTTAAGATTCGGATAAATAGGGCAAGTGTACACAGCGTCGATAGAATCACAATCACTATGAGACAGCTACTCAAGGGCTTTAGAGTACAAATGTGCAAGAATGTATTAAGGATCGATCACACGTCTAGATCTGATACAGACTAATACAAACAAAATCTCAGAAGACAGAATATAGAGCTCAAGGAGCCCCAATATAAACAAAATCTCAGAAGACAGGTACCATTGCTTAAACCCTCGAAAAAGACAAGCAGGGACACACAAATGACAAGTCCCAAAACAATTTCTACACCACCCCCGTGAAACTACCGCAGCAGAGACTGCAGAATGCCGATGGTAGTTCAAAACACGGTCAAGAAAACACATAACGCAGATCGAAATGTTTCAACAGCGAAGACGTAGAGGTTTAAGAGAAATACACACCCCAAAACTCCATTGCAGCCGACGAGAAAAACAACAACCGAATGTCTGAGGAGAATAACAAAACTCCGGTGGAGGCTGCGAGCATCAGAGCGCTCGCCGGCAGACGGGAAATCCAAAGCAACACCAATTCTGCCAGCCGCTGCTCACTGTCTTGTATAGGGCTGCCGCCATCGCCCAACCGGTCGTGGTTAGGGATACCACCGGCTGCAGCCGGATTCTGGGACACGTTCACACCGGATTCTGGAAAGCGCTGCAGACAGGGCCGTTCATTTGAAATAACGACTGATTTTGTGTGTCAGCTTTCTAATCTCCTCTCGATTTCTCACATCACACTCTTGATTCCTCATTATTCCTCATTACATATCGTGGTGCGTACTGTAGCCCACTATTTGAAATACTCTATAATATTCACACATTTGCACATTTTTTGTGTATATAAATTTGAATAAAAATATTTCTTTGTTGAGATTGTAATAAATTCCTGAAATTACTTCCATTTTTCAATGCCATAAAGATGACAAAATTCGAAAATAATTCAAGATCATAACATCAAAAAGAAAGTGCATTACATGTTATTTTATAGAAAGTTTTAAATTAGTGTGTTTTAGTCATCCTTGCACAGGTGATTTAAATATCATATATGGTTTCATCTTGCTTTAAATATAAATTTTAATATGTATGATAATAACGTTATTTAAATAACTAGTCAGATTTTTGGGTTCTGTACAAGCAGAACAAAAATCACTTTATTACATGCTTTTATCAAAATTGTTATAATTTATTATTCGTATTATTGATAAATAAGAAATAACTAGTATATGTAAATAAATATAATTGTATTCGTACATTATTATTTGAATTAAAAGTATGCTAAAATTCATATGTATATACATACATTTTATGACAATAATATTTAAAACATAATATTTTATAAATTTGTATATGTACGTGTTTCATTTTTAAAACTAAGCATATAGTAAACTATCAAGTAATCTCATTATGAATAACAAAAAGTGTTATCTTGTAGTGTATTGAATGACAGTAAATGAAATTGGGGTGTTAATTAGAAACTACCTATGCATACATGTTATGTATACTGTAACATGCAAAAAATTATTTAACCGACAATAGCACCATAGCAATTCCTTTTTATTAAATATTGGTTAAATAATTAGAATATAGTCTTTACATTAATATTAGACGATGTAAATTATAAAAAACAGTATTGACACTTCAAAGTTGTATCATTTAACTATTGAAATGTATACAATACATGAATTATAAGTATTATTGGAAAAGAATAAATTATCATATATAGTAAAATTAATTAAATGTGTTTTAATATCTCTAAGTCATTCATGGGAGTAAATCTATTGTTAAAATTCATAATTTATTCTTTAAATAATATATTATAATTAGATTTGAGGATAAAATTTTAGATTTCATTTCAAAAACTAAAATTAAAAATAATTAAATTTTTTTTTGTTATTGATCTTTTGCAATGAGCTAATTTATAAAATTACAACCTTACTCATTTGAAAGTACTCATTTAGTAGCTTTACCTAGCTTTAATTTTTTGATGTAAAATTATGATGGAGTTTAAAGTGCAAAAAGAATATTTTAAAATGAATATGAAGGAATTTATTCATGATTTTTCCTTTAATAAGTACCTAGAAAATGACATAGAAAGTGTGATCACACATTGGATAAAATTTAGAATATGTATATGTATATATATATATATATATATATATAATGAAATCATAAAGAAGTCAGGAATGGTGGAGCAAGGATTTAATCCTAATGTTAGCTCAGTTAAAGTGATAAATTATTTAATGCAATAATTTATTATTAGTAATTTATTCTATTTAAAGTTTAATATTCTACAAGACACAACGGAAGAATTATATTATGGAAGTTGAAGTGAGGACTCAATATAATGGAAGCTTGGAGATGGCTTCAGAAGGGCGACGTTTGGTGTTAAGTGGGGTGGAAATGGATGAGAAAGAGGGACGAAACTGATGAACGTGTTCGTGAACGAATGAAGAGCAAAGTGGATGAGAACTTGGATAAATAATCGCATCGCGGGTGGAGACGAAGCGTCATTCATCCACAGAGGAAGCACAAGGTGCTCTTAGGGCAGCGGCGGAGTCCAGACTCACCTCTTTCCGTCTGTGCAACTGCTGCCGGACTTGCTCCATCTTCCCCTCTGCCGCTGGCTCTTCGCATCCTTCGCGTCTTCAGGTTTTGTGCTAATTCCCATACGTTTCATATGTTTTTTTCTCAAAATTTCGGGATTTTTTTTGCATCAGGGTTATGTTATTCTATTAGTGAAATGGCTTTTTACTTTGTGGTGATCGTTTGTGAGGAAGGATTATCGTTTTAGGTCAGGCTTGTGGACATCGGGCGTTGTAGGGGAGTTCACTGTGCATTCGTCAAATGTGCTGTTTGTAGAATTTTGGACCCAATTAAAGGAATGTGTTGTTTGTGTAATGTGTTATGACATTTCGTGTACATATGAACGCCGATGAGCCCGATTCGGTTGTTTTCATTTTTAGGTTATTTGTATTTTGATGTCTGGTTTGACTAGATCAGGTTGCGATGAAATGGAGCTCCTTCTGAAGGGTTTGCATTTTCGGTTTTAGCGGCGGACGTGTTGTGTAGGCTTTTGGTTATTTTTTGCCAGTACTAGAAACCGACTTTAGGTGTGGTATCATGTCCGAGTCCTCAAAGTACTTTCATACCTATTTTATGTGGTAGCAGAGCGGCTCTTATGGCATTACTGCTGGGGTGTAATTTCGATACTTGATGGAGGAGCTAATTATTGTGGCGTTACTTGTCACCCTTTATCATGTGTACAGAATGGCGGCTGTATCGGACGACTTGATCTGGCTGTTGGTCAAGAACAGCAACAGGTTCTTGGTGAAGAGGAATGGGAACAATAACAATTCTGTTACCTTCAGCTCAGAACCGAACAACTTGTATAACTTGAACACCTTCAAGTACTCAGGTATTGCAATGTTGTGACTGTATCACTATGCTGGGACTAACTGGGTTCGATCTTCACGTTGATTTTGATGATTTATTTAACACAGTATTTTTCAATTCTTAGGTTTGGCGAACAAGAAGACTGTGGCCATCGCACCGGCAGAAGGTCTTTCAGTAGTTCTTACCACCACCAAGACCAAGAAGAGGAACCAGCCCGCTAAGTTGCGCCACAACTCCCTCTTGAAGAAGGACTTCCGCAAGATGGCTAAGACTGTGGTCAACCAGGTAGCCTCCAATGGGTACAGGGCTGACTTGAAGTCCGCCGCTTTGGCTAGGTTAGCCGCTGTGCACAAGAGCCTTCGTGTTGCCAAGGCAGGAGCCACGAAGAAGAAATCCAAGGCTAGAACTCCAGGAAAGAAGTAGATGGTGTCTTCTTTTCGGAAGATAAGGACTGCAATAGTTAAGACCTTATGGTCATTTTGTTTCTTCCTCTAAGCGAGTGTTTCGGTTCCTAAAAAGGCCTGAGTTACTTTGAGTTTTAGTTGTGGGTGAATTTCTTCTGGTGGTGTGTTTTGAAATGATTGTTTTCCTTAGTTGAGGAGATTGACGACAATCTATCACATGTGCAGTCATGTTCACGGTTCTCTCTGTTGTCCGGTACACCTCTCATTTCCCCAACATGCACATGAAACCCAACTTTGCCTTCCAACTGTGTACATCAAATTCACAGCCGTGGATTTCAAATTACAGCGACTTGCTATGTTGTACGTTTCATCCATGACCAATTTGTTTGGAAGTATACGAGCTGAGACATCCCTGATGACTTCCTTTTCCTGTGCACTAAATTAACTTACTAGACAACTTCAGTGAGAAATCGGATGGAAGCTGCTTCCCTGGAACCTTGAGATTCACATAGACCACTTGCTCCCTGCAACGAATTATGAACTCTCACTACTATCCTGGCACATACGATGCAAATTACTCAAGCTTGTTGTTCAGTACTGGCTCAAATCTCTGATGATTGAAAAATAATCGTTTAGTCCGTGGTTTCGACCTTACGGTAAATCACACAAAGCTTATACTATCATCCGAGCATTACATCGTTCATTAACATCTAGGTACATCTTGCAGCAGCACATCACCGGTAAGGGACTTTGAATGTTTATCAGAGGTCCAAACACCTTAAATCCTGAGAATGGTGAATTACGAGAGAGATTTCGCTGTTTTGCTGTATGGTGTATCGAATTCAGTGGTGGACTAAGGAGTATCTGGTAGATTATCAGAACCCAGCTGGGCTCCTAGAAGTGTCCTGGAGAGGCAGGGAACGTGGCTACCATGCTTCGAAAGGCCCAAAACTACGAGATCATCCGCGCCACTTGTCGCCGCTCGTCCACTTGGTCTGGCCATCTGGTGCCGACATCCGCCCTTCCTCTCATCCACGGCTCCACACTCTCGCTCAAGCGACTATATATCCACCCGTCGCCCTTACACCATCTCACACAACAATTTTCCTGCATCCTGAGAGCAAATTTGATATTCTCTCATTAACGTACAGTTAGCAAGCATCGACATATTTTTGTAGTTTGTATAATTTTACTCCAGTTTTTGTTTTGTACACTCAACCATAGATATTGCAATGGCGTTGGCAATGAATGCTACTACCAATGTGGCGACTGCAGTGGTTGCTACCCCTGCAATTGCTGGTGCCTTGAGCTATAAGCAGGCAACTAGCGTGCGCTTCACCACTGGTAAGCAGCTGCAACCACCATATTTTAGTTTGGGTTTCATCTCAAACCATATGAAACCACCATTACGCTTGTGCAGGAATGTATTCATATCTTTTTTCTTGAAGAAATGTGGCCAAAGCGTTCCATTCGTGTGTGTATACTAGATGAGTATCCTGCAGCGCAACGGTGGCAATTCGCTGGTGTTACTTGAATAACTGGGTATCTAAAAGGATAATTTGAGGTCACATTGATGCTGCACTTGCGGCAACAGCTGAAGAGCTCATCTCTTAACACTTGGTTGTGTGTTTTGCAGGAGCTTCGGCATTCAAGCGAGCTTCAGTGTTTGTTGTGAGAGCGGAGAAGGAGGGCAAGGTGGAACCCGGCCCCGCGGGCAGGCAGAATGCGCCCAGCACCCCCCATTCGCCCCCAGGCATGAGTGGCTCCGAAGCCCCGCTTGGCGTAATCTCCTCCACTGTCCCTCTTGCGCAAGGCTCGGAAGAGCCTGTGAGCAACAGGATGGCGTACGTGTGCCAGGACTGCGGTTATGTGTACGATGAGGAGACGCCCTTCGAAGACGTGCCCGACGAATACAACTGCCCTCGTAAGAATCCCTCTCCGATTCTCTCTGATTCTCTCTTAGTAGTCTTTCACTGATGGAGCTTGCTGTCACTGCGATCGTGTGCATGAGATACATGACATGATCATGCGTTTGTTAACCCGGAGCGTGGCATTTGCGGTTGTGATGGTGGCAGAGTGCAAGGCACCTAAGACGCGGTTCATGATGGCGAATGCATCAGTTGAGGAGATGCTGGACACCACCAAGGAGGACGATGCTGTGTCTCGAGGCAGCGGCGAGATGAGCGGCAGCCCTCCAAACCAGAACTAGGGTGTGAGCTTTGTGGAACAGTTCATGTATAATATCAATGTTTGATAAGAGGATAACTGAGATTGTATGATTGTTGATTTCAGGATTTAAATAAATAATCTGCATCTGAAAGTCGGATGTGGATGATCATATTTGCTCTGACTTGTTGGCTACGTCTGATGTAAGATAGCAAATGTCTCCAAATTTACATCTGATTTGAAGCTGCTTTAAAATCGAACTCTGCGTCGTTGGATGTTTCTCTTTAAGTATGCTGGAGCAATTGTACAATGAAGTATAGACAAAATAAAAATGGACATAAACGATAACAAAAGTGGTAATTAACATGTGTGTCTCTCTTCGATAGTATGCACTAATTGTATCACATCATATTATGGAAGTAATGCTCTATGATTTTGGACAACAATGTAGAATTCTATTTACAACAGGGCCCAATCAGAGAAGAAGAGAAATGTGTCAAGATATTGGAAAGGAGCAGTTGAGTTAAATTACAAAACCTATTTAACACTATTTTTATTTTGATGATGTAGAAAATGTTTTGTATTGCGGAAGTCATTGCATTGGGCAATATCATGTTATGGAGGTCAAACAACTTGTCAGCTATTCCACTCAAATGTAGAGAAGGAGAAATCCAACCATTCCTGCAAGGTTTAGCGCAGTTATCATATTCATGCAGGTGATAAGTAACTCGAAAACCACGATCATATTCAAAACATGTAGTTTCCTGCATCCCGAAGGTTGCAGCGTAACAAAGATGTGAAATTAGATGTTCTCAGCTTCCCTGACGCAAGCGCATTATGCTTGCTACTGGGATCGAGTTCAGATAAACCCACATTCTGTGCTTGCGCCCCAAATACAGAGGCTCTCTTCAACGCCGTAGGCCCTGGAAATACAAATGTGCCACAAGTCTACAGTCGAATTCCAATTCCTGTAGCGGCGGCTTGATGGTTTGCTGTGTCACGAAATAGTACTCGTAGGAAGATTTGTGACCGGAGGATCTGCGGAAACGCCATCAATTGCTTGCGTGACCTCATCGGACATCAACAATCTTTTAAATTAGTAAATAATACATCTAAGTTGATACTCGAACATGTGTATTGTTGCGTCAGCTTGCGAGTACGTCGACTACGTGAGGGCAAATCGTGACTTATTAGTTCACCCCTGAACAAGGCGACAATTAGGTCACAAGATACACAATCCTTAGGGACGTTTTTTTTACTGGTGAAATAATCAGGTTAACTTGTCTGCAGCAGAAAATGCTTTTGTTCAAGACTATACTGCGCTTCCGTATTAAGCGATTACAATAAGAAAGAAGAAAAGTTACTGAAGGTGAAACAAATAAAGAGACTCTGAATGTGAGGGTCATGCAATCGCTGCTGACATCTAACTTGGGTCATTCTCTTCTTCATTTGCTAAAATCTCTCGTGAAGCTTCGATGCCCTCAAGATCACTTCGCGAGTTTGATACAGAAGCTGAGCTATCGCTGCGACCACTGGCAACAATTTCGGCGGTCTCTAGTGAAGCTCCTAAGCGAGCCTTAGACCCTTACATTCTCTAACGCGACGTCGTTGCAGTCGGAAGTCACGGGGAGCAGGTTTTGCCTAGCTCAAAGTGCGGAAAAAAGTGGACAAGTGAGCGCGCTGAAAACACAGCTACTTAGAAACAAGGATGAGAGCGGTAGGTGGCAAATTTTAATGAGTTGAAAGTTTTTGGAACTTACATGCAACAAAAACCCTGATAAACCCTTTTTTCTCTACTCCTCAATGTGCTGCGGCGAGCTTCTATTCTAAACAATTTGCTTCAAAATCCCTCAGATAGCACGCAATGGAATAAAGACTTCATGTGTGAATCTCCAAAGTCCCCACGTTAGACATGTACCTATCGAGAAGTAAAACCTAAATTTCGTTGTAGCGACCAAAAAGCATGCCTTAGGTGCGTGTTCCATCAGTGTCAATCTCCGGAGCGCGAACCTAAATTCTCATGAACGGGGGCCTCTGGGATGGAACTATCCATTATCTGGAGAATATGCTGTTATATCCACATGCGTGGCACTGGACTACTGGTGCCCCTAAGTCCTAGGTTTCTCGACTTTCGTCTCCCTTTGAAGACTCTGCTCCGTCTTCCCCTCTCTTTGAATTTCTGGCAATTTTCTCGCCGCGCTGTCGTATCCCTAGTCTGTAGATTTTCATTGAAGAATTTTGAGTGCTGAATTATGAAGTGTATCGTAGAGCTTGGGCAAGTAAGTGAGCAGTTGAATTGTAAGCTCTGCTGGATGCCCCTGTGTCTCAGAGCTTAGGCTGACACCTTCAATGTTTCCGTCCTGTGGATACTGTAGTATGATTTATTTTAGTCAGTTCACTTGGAAAAGGTTTGGGTGTAGAGAAGCCTTCTGAAGTTTAGAGAGGCGGGGGATTATATGCAGTTTCATGTAGAACAACCCTTCGCTTAATGATTTTAGTGGCAGCGGTGGTTGTAATTTCGAGATTGCTCTTTTGAATTACCTACAAAGCTCCTGTTAAGCAGCGAGACGGATTGTCATGGGAACTTCTGTATGTGTGGGATCTTCATTCTCGGTTCTGACTTCCAAGCGTATACAAGATGCCCAGGGGCAATGCAGGCTTAATGGAGCTACAGAGTTGTGTCGTCACCACTCTAGCTCTAAATTTTCGCTTCTGGTTTTTAGACGAACAGAGTATAACACAAAATGTAAATGCGCATTGGGTTGTCAATTGCCGCTAACTAAGCAAGCATCTACAGGAGCTTTCTTGACTGCGAGGCTGAGGAAGATTCATAGAGCGAAAGAATTTACTTTTAGTATTTATTGTGTGGATAATTCAGGTTTAGAGCCTGTCGTAGTCGAGAAGGCTTCTGAGGAGGATGGCAGTGATACTAAAATCAGTTCCCTCGATTCGAGTGCAACGTCACTGGAATCTGACGTAGTAACCGAAGGAGGCGTATTAGAATTGATGGACACAGACGACACTGTAGTTGAAGAAAGCAGTGACAACGAAGAGAACGACACTAATGGAATGCTTAGGCAACCTAAAAAGGATTTGATGCAAGACAATTGGCAACTGTTTGCATCTGAAGAGGGTGCAAGACCAGCAGCTGGAACTGCAGACAGTGGTATAGATTCTCCATCAACCGACGATGAAACTGGATCAGACAGTGAGACGGAGGAGGGGCCTGGCGAAAACTATGTGAGAAGAAGGAAGGCTGAAGAAGTGTTACCCATTCCTGACTCGGCTAACATGGATTGGACAGAAGCTGAGAAGGAGAAGGTCAACGCTTTACAAAGGTACAAATACAGGTAAGAGGCACCACTTTCGTCTAGCAAACAATATGATGTATTTCTCTTTCAAAGCTCACGTGTGCTTAGGAATTGAATGTTTATGAAACTTACTAATTTTGCAATATTGATAGAGTCTCGGCTAGTAACGAGAACTCAGAATTTTAAACTTGTTGATGTTACACCAACCAGTAAATCTACGTAACCAATGACATTTTTATTTGCGATTTTTCTGAATGTCACAACTCAAGTGGAGTACTGCTACAAATAGCCCCTTCAATCTTCGCAAGTTACAATTATATACATATAACGTCTGAATTATGCAGATATGAGAGTAACAGAGGGCTATTTGTTGTCGAAGCAATGCGACCCAAGCATATGAACGACACAGAGGAGCTTTTGGTGGACTCCTTTGCAGAGCTTATGGGAGGTCTTCTGACATACCGTCCTCTCTTAGCAATTACTGTCAAACAATATGTGCGAGAACGGTATGCCACTTTGCCTCATTCAGTGACCCTTGTTGGTCTGTATGCACCTGCGGAGGGTGTTCCAGTCTCTGGTGAATCTTCGGAAATGCAGCAAGGATATTGGGTTGTAGCTGGAACAGTTGAGGTCTCATTTTCAGGAGCGGGACATCCCGATGTACCGACCCCAGCACCTCCACCTAATTCACCATACATCTGCAACATGGCTATCAAAAAAGAGTACCGGAGGTTAGTACTTTCAAACTTTGATTGTAGTATCTTCTGCAAAGCTACTCTTTGATGGTACAGACATTATTTGTAGAATACACACTAGGATTGAAGTCATGAACTTTCTGCAAGTGAAGAGAGAGTATATGGCGGTTGTCTGCAACCTTGGACAGAAATCAGATATACATGCCCATCACGAACACTTGATTTCGATCATAGAAATATACCCAGTCTTTCTTTGAGGTGAAATTTTAGCTTGAATAGCATTTGTTTAAAAAGTATCTGATTCTCCGGTTACTTATGTGGGTGCTCAGAAGGGGACTAGGTCGTGAGATGCTGAAGGCCGCAGAGAACCTTGCGTTAAGTATGGGCTATGAGGACATGTATTTGCACGTCAGGTTGATTGACATAGCGCCTCTTACGATGTACAAAGAAGCAGGATACCAGGTGGTTTCCACTGACAGCCTACTGTCTGTATTAACTTTTCAGCGGCGTCGTCATCTCATGCGCAAACGCTTGTCTAGAACGCAGTTGGTACTAGAGTAGTTGGTGAATCTTTGTATTATGAGTTTTTAAATGACCCAATTAAATGTTCCTCTCCTCCTCTCTATCCACTTATTTGATACCTTGATTACATCTCTCGATTTCAACCATTTCCTTGCATTCATATCCCACATACTATCACTTGAGTCTCAAATTCCTTGATGGCTTCTCCTCATAGCATATTTCGAAAGTCATTCATCTGGGTTCACACAATGATGTTCTCATTATAAATGGAGGTTATAAAGAATCACCCCCCTTCAGCACCATTCAGAAACCATCGGAGAGACGGTACACCAGATTGGAACCCTGTTTGTTAGCATTTTCTTTATTGCTAACATGTACTAGCTACAGCCATATGGTGCAGACGAGTTTAAGCCCAGCCTCGCAACATCTCACCTCTTTGAACCCATTATAGTCCAAAAGCGTCAAATACGAATTGGTTAGTTAAATCTTTTGTATTATCTAATTCAATTCTGCATGTTTACTTGTACAGCTCAGTAGCACCCATAAATCTCAAGGCGCAAACACCACAGCTTACACATTTACAAGATCGATTCAGCGCTATCATCGAATCGTTGTTACTTGACTAGTACGCCAAGCAGATGATGGGGTATCATGAAATGATGCTGGTAATATTGTTGGCATCTCACACAAAGTTAGACACCGAAACCACCCAAAAAAATGGGCAGAATCAGAACAAAACTCTGGAACTTTTGCCCATCTGTTTAGATACCAAAGAATTGCAACGAACCTGCTCGGCTCTCACTCACCTCTTGCTCCATTATACAGAAACAGATAAAAACCGGAAAACTCTGCAATCTTAAATTTCCTTCTTCTGCTTCTACTGGGAATGAAGGCCATCTCCTCATTGTCAAAGCCCAGCTTAGAACATCACCCCAAAGAATCTTAGCTCAAGAAACCTCTCATCCCCAGTTCAATACCCAGCTTCCAGATCAAGTGCTGTTTCACAATCTATGAGAGTCTCCTTATCCCTAACTCTCAAGCATTAGCCACAATCTATCTACATCACTATCAATTCATGGAACGAAACCAATTTAATATTTCAATGTGCTAAAACTTACATACAATTTAGCTTTTTGACAAAATACAATTGCAAAATATTCAAATTATAGTTATATTAAAAGTCAGCATTAACGTAGGTAATTAGGGTTTTGATTTTTTCATCTTAACAAATACAAAAGGATTCTAATCTTATCTTCTTCCATGAAGGATAGCTATTGCAGCATAAAAATGTCAATGCATCAACTTTGCAATTTACCTTATGCTGAAGCTGCGTAAAAATATTAACTTGGTGTTAATATTAAGATAAATCTTTATTTTTGATCTACAAGGCACATCCAAAATAAATAATCAAAATAAAACATTCTTGTTTTACATCTATTTTATATATTTATTTTTAATATCTCATCTATTAAAATCATGCATCTAAAAATGTCAATCAAAAGATGTTTCTAATAAATCATACTTATATTTGCTAAGCAACCAATATTTGATGTCTTGCATATTATAAACTTCATCAACCATTATCTTACCATGTAATTGTTAAATATATTTCTAAAGCTAAATATTAAATTATATATAAAAGAAAAGCACAAAAATATGGATTCCAAAAAAAATATAATTTTCAAGCAATTCTTTTATATTTTAAGAAGATCAACTTTTGAAGGAAATTATATATAGTATAATTTAATAAATGCCATCCATTTTAGTAAGATTTAGGATTTTGAGGTTTAATATATTGAAATAATAGAAATATCTGAATTTATATCTTTTTTTCAAGGTACATATAAAAAATGATTATATATTTGTAAAATTTAATATTGGTACTATCCAACACAGGAGTTGCAAGTTAATTTAGTTGGAACCTTGTTCATAAGATAAGTCTTATCTTGATTTGTTTCTTTATTTGAGAAGAAAACTCTAATCTTGAGCAATTTTAATATTTTTTTAGAAGCATTTGTAGAGACATTTGGAAAATATGATAAGGCTTAATAAGCAACAACAAAGATTCACTCATTACGTCAAGAGTCATGCTTTGCATGAATTTATACTTCTGATTTTAGGCAATTGGCTTATGACATCAATTGGGATGAATAAACTTTTATGAACCAATTCTATTAAAGATTAAGGAATGATATAAAAGACCTATTATTATTATTATTATTATTATTATTATTCTTTAATCTTCAAATATTCAATGAAGCTATCAACTAAGCTATAAAGTACAATAATCAATTATTTCAAGATCAATGCTGATAGACTTTGATAAAGCAGCACATTAGAAATTTGTACTTTGTTGCTTCAAAAAATACATTACTTTTATACTCTAAAACTAAAGAAATGCAAATTGATGCAATATGATTTAAACCTCTTACAATAAAAGAAAAGAAGTGTCAATTTGAACAAGACTTATGCTTATATTATAATGAAGAAGGCTACAAAATTAGGAACTGTATAAAAAAAAAACATACAATCAAAATAAAGAATACAATCATTTAGGAAAATAAAGAGACCCACCTACAATAAAGACTATGTGGTTGGACATTCCAATACCTCAAATTTATCAAGGTTCCTCTCTCTCTGCTTAACCTGCTTGTTGTTTTATTTTATCTTTATTTCTTTGCCTACAAAGCCTTCAAACAAATCCTTTATTAGATTCAAAAGCATATGCTTGCTTTTTTAAATAAGGAATTTTTTAAATTTTATAAAATTCTTCTATTACAAAATTCAAAACCTATATATGTATAGAAGTAATAGATGGTCGACCTTTATCTTCAAGCAATGTTATTCATCAGACCATGCTGTTAGAAATATCATTTGAGGGTTATAATAACAAAATAATATTTAATATTATTAAAATCTCGTCGAATTCTATTATTCTAAAACTTTCATGGTTAAAAGATATAATCCATCTATAGATTGGAGGTTTTATAAGATTGAATTTCTTTTTGAATTTCTTTAGACAAAACCTATCAAAAAATCATCAACAATAAAGCTTTTCTTTTTGGAAGCAAGGGCTTTTATGAAGATGGCTAAAAAAAAAATTCCATTTGTTATTTATGCAACTCTAGCTTGTGAAGAAGCAAGCTTGCTAGTAGCTATCCTAGAATAGTATAAAGAGTTTCAAGATGTCTTTGAAAAGAAAAATGGTGACATTTTCTTAAAACATTAACTATTATTATGATGTAACACAACTAATAGGTGAAAAAGATGAAGAAATTATTATATCATAAAAGATCTTACTTCAAGTATTATAAAAAATTATCTTAGAAAATAAACAATAGTCCAAAAATAAGTAAAACTAAAGGTATAAATGCTATCTTTTTATAAAGTAAGCTTCTACTTACTTTTGTAAGGCCATTAATAAGAAAAAAAAAATAGATTAAAAAAATAAAGAATATGAGCATACATAGGAGGAAGTAAGGATTTGATTTTAATAAAAATTAACTCAAAAAGGAAAAATTTGATACTTAGAGATGACCGGTTATCAACTTGGGTCGAAATCAGACTTTGAGGTACAAAACTAGGCACCAATGGCAACTTTAGGGGTTTTTTTTTGAAGTTTGAAGAGCAAGATTTGAAAGAAAATTTAATAGAATTTCTTTAAGTATTGATTTTGATTGATTTGAATATGTAATAACTTTGTAAGAGCTTTGCAAAGTCACAATTTTTTTGAGTGACTTTGAAATTTGTGAAATAAAAGAGATATTATGTTTTGAAATTTTTTGTGAGTTTAGTAGTTGAACCATGGTTTAAATTTTGAGGACTTATGAGAATAGTTATTTGAAGTATATGATATAATTTTGAACTCAATCGAATGGTTGAATTTAAGTTTATTGAATTTCAAGTAGGTTGAGGTCTCAAAAATTGGACTTTGAGGGATAATTAGGATTTTTAAGATCTTCAATAATTTACTAATTGGATTAGAATAAAATTTATATATAAAGATAATAGACTTGATTTGCTACACATATGTATATTTGAAAAATAATTAAATAGTATAAAAAGGAGATATTGGCACTAGAAGACTAGCATCAAGGTTGAAGAAAGAGGCCGGCCAACAGCTAAGCGGATTTTGATATTTTTCTTCTATTTGGTAAGTTTGATTCTCTTCAAATTTCATATACTTATTTCAAACTTAGTTTTTAAAAAATTTGTAAAATTTTAAGTAAAATAAATGATTTACTTAATAGATATTGAGATTCTAAACTGTGCTAGGATTAAATTGAGTTGGTTAGCTTTTGGTTAGGATTTGGTTTAGAGTTAGGATTGGATTAGGATTTAGGATTTAGTTAATTTTTTTTAGAATTTAGGATTTATTTAGGATTTAGGATTTGGATTAGAGTTTAGAATTTAAGATTTATTTAAAATTTAGGATTTTCTAAGGATTTAGAATTGGATTTGGATTTAAGTTTTGATTTAAGATTTAGAATTTGCTTAGGATTTCGGATTTAGGATTTACTTAGGATTTAGATTTGGACTAGGATTTAGGATTTGGTTTAAGATTTAAGATTTGATTAGGATTCAAGATTTAGGATTTGGTCTAGGATTTGATTGAAGTCCACTAGGATTTCAACTAAGATTAAATTAGGACTTAATTGATATTTATTTAAGATATTTTTATGATTATTCTAATATTTTTTAAGGATTTTTTAAGGATTCTTTTAAAATTTATTGTGGATTTCTTTAAATTTCTTTAAAATTTCTTTAAAGTTTCTTTTAAATTTAATTAAAGCTTTTTTAGTATTATTAAGGTTTAATTAGAGTTTATTTAATATTCTACTAAAGTTAGATTTTTTTTGTTTCAATTTCTATTCTACCTTCTCCAACTAAGTACCCAGTGCATTCTTAAATAAGACTTCATGTATTACAACACCGTATGATTGTGCCATTGATCTTAAAAAAGGGGTTGAACCACCATTTGGCCCAATCTACAATTTATCTTAAAAGAAGCTTTTGGCATTAAAAGATTGCATTGACAAAAATCTTACAAAGAATTTTATTTGGCATTCTAAATTTCTAGTAGATATATTAATACCTTTTGTAAAGAAAAA